GCACGAGAAGTGCGATTAAACATGTATCATTTTAACCGGAAGCAGTGGCAGTAAAGTCTACCCACGACCCCCGAAAAGGTGCATATGTGTTCTGTTTTTGTAAAAATATTGCATCCAGTGGGCTAAAACTTCACGGTAAGCAGTGGCTGCGGAACCGGGAGGGGGGGGGGGAGCACTCCGGCCCCCCATGGGTCATGAAAGGTTGACCCTCCCATTTGTTTGAATACTCCAGGGGTGATGAGCATCGATTTCGTCAATTTGTTAGTGGAAAATACAGTGCCTATGAACCTAACTCCGTTGAAATACTTTGGTAATTGTACGTTCTTGGAAAACAAGGGTGGTGCAGAGTTGTAACGAGTCACTGATTTTTGTGACTTGAGTCGAGTCGAGTCATTTTAAAGAAGTGACTCAAGTCGAGTCGAGTCATTAGGTCCAAAGGTCGAGTCGAGTCGAGTCGAGTCAAATATTTAGCTCGAGTCAATTTGAGTCACGAATATTTGAACACTAATACCAACATTAGAAGGAGGCCATACGTTTAGCCAGCGTTCGAATCAAGGAGCTTTATAAGAAATCGCCTAAAGCCAATGATGAAACAGCAAATAAGAAAATGTGTTTACAAATCTGGTTCCTGGATAGTATTTTGTGCGTTCTAGAACCATGAGGTGGGAGTCTGTGACATGTTGTACATTTATACATGACTGCTATTCGCAAAGCGAAGCAAGCATAAAGTTTGCACCGTAAGTCATGGCAAATACTTTTCTCAAAGTTGTGCTTTTATTTTTGGGACTCGAGTCTTATTAGCCTTCGCTCTAGTCGAGTCGAGTCTTTTGATGAGGGACTCGAGTCGAGTCGAGTCATTTGCTGGCAGTGACTCGAGTCGAGTCGAGTAATTTACCCTTAGGGACTCGAGTCGAGTCGAGTCACCAAAAATTGTGACTCGAGTCGGACTCGAGTCGAGTCATTGACTCGAGTCATTACAACTCTGGGGTGGTGGGGTCTGGGCTACGGTCAGTGGCAGGGAAACATTTGAATATCATCAAGTGGGGAAATCAACGTCTGCAAAATGAATGATTTCCAACAATTTTGATGTTTCCAGAAAAAAACAGAAATACGTTTGTTTAATCCTATGTGGGCACTTTAATACCTCTAAATGCATATAGCATCATTTTTTTTTCGTTTTCAATAATATATATTACCACTCAAAATTTAATTATGAATGTCCAAAACCTATTAACCTTTTAAAGTTTCAGCTCAGGGAAAATTACACTTTTCAAAACAGAAGGCAAATGCACAACCTTTTGATCAGAAAACACGCACGATTAAGTCGATAACACACTTGTTTTCAGACAAAGAATCAATTACATGTATTACTGATCGTTGGATTTCCTCTTAGACTAAATTACGTCAGTCAGACAGAAACATTTCAGGGGGTGTTCAGCACCAGTGCGATCTTTAATCCAGGTAAGCTTTGATAATGATTCGGTAGGGTAGTTTTTGGATCACTGTGAATGATTCTTATATGACTATAAGATTACATCACCTACCTGTTAGTGCGCAGTGACCACGTTCGCTGCAGTACGCCAACAGAACAACCAGAATCAAACCAGCGCAACCTCCGACAAGATGATATCCTCTCGCTGCCATTGCGAAGATCACTTTTTCTTCCGTATATTTTCACTGCAATGATGCAACACTGCTAGGTGAATACTATATGAATAGGCCTACAGAGAAACGGTCTCGAGTATCGAACTGACAATAACCAACAATGCAAATTTAAACAAAGGCATCTCTTGTAGTTAGCCTACAGACAACGTATCCCCAGGACGCGTACGAATGAAGTAATCATATTCGTTGTGCTGATGTAACGCCTAGAGACATTTCAGCTAATGAAGTGCTGTAATTGCTGAGGCAAGCAAGCTTCGCAACATATTACTTCATCGGCTTTTCTGCATAGTTGCGTTAAAGTCTTTGTTTTTGTTCAATATTTGTTTTCTTCGTGGGCGTTCTTATCCCGTAGACTCTGTACACGCCTTTTCTTTGGGTATGGAACCTAGTCATCAACCACAAAGCAAAGTCGTGTCTCGACCAGTGACGTCATGCTAAATTCATCTTGGATCACGTGACGTCATCTTAAACGTGCACATTTTAAGGTCCCATCTAGAGAACTGTATGTCCGCTTTGGTTCAAACTTGGTATGTGGGTATACTGGAATAGAATGTAGGTGACGTCATGATAACTTCATCGTGTAATTTTATGACGATTTTTGAATTTTTGAAACTTTAAGCCATATCTCATCAACAGAAAAAAAACAAGCGAAATTCTTGACGTCAAAGTGTTTGACGCTATTATTTATGCGTAATCTTGCGATTTTTTAAAATCACATTATAATGGTAAGTCCGGTCGTTTTGTTGTTACTTCATATAGTGACGTCATAATGACGTCATAAATTGATATTTTTAATATAAAAGTTTATCTATTTTGTATATTATTCAACTCTCAAAATGAGACATAAAGTGCAATTAGATTAACTTTAAACTACGCACAGATACATTCTGTACTGTAAGGCCAAAACAAAAAAAAGTCTCCGGTTTCTGGTATGCGCGCGCGTCGCCGTAGCCCTGCGCGTCGGCAAAATGAAAACGTTTTTTTTTCAATAAAAGATGATGTCTCAAAACCGCCAAACTCACTGGTTTGACTGGAATTCTGCTGCAGCACAGTTTTAACGTGTTTTTAGATGGGGGTATGATCGATAATAAGCTTTGTGTGGACTCACTGGACTCCCGTACATTTTGCACTAAGTTTAGTCGGGCACCATTTGCAGTCATCAGCCGACATTTGAAGCAAAAAAGTCAGGTAAAAAAAAAAAGCCGCGTCGCCGCACCACCTATTTGGGCAAGCTCCATACCAGAAACCGGAGACTTTTTTTTGGCCTAAAGTGGGTCCTAGACAAGTGACGTCATCAATGGTCATGTGACGTCATCTTGAAGTTGGATATTTAAGATGTTATATCTAAAGAAATGTAGGTCCTATTTTAGGTTGAAATAAAAAAACACATAAGGTTAGGTCTGATCGTCACGAAACTTGGTTGACGGTTTGATAATAATTATAATATGCAAAATCTGATATTACGTTACGATGACGTCATCGACTGATTTTCTTTTTGAACGAAGTTTTGAAATGTTAACATTTTGTTTCTCATTACACAAATTTGTTTCTCATTACACACATTAGACACATAGATCGACTCCAAACTTGACACAGACCAAAACAACTTAGTCGATGGACGCATAGACAAGTGACGTCACGATGACGCCATCACATGACATTTGACGTCATCTGAAAGGTGCATATTATTGATTTTTTTTTAGAAGTCCTGTGTACATTTGTTGCATATCATTGGAACTTTGTTGTACTTTGAGAATATTTCGAAGCTCTTTCAGCATGGTATGGTACAATTTTTACACATAAATGCATATATTTACACTGCAGATAAATTATAAGCTCTAAATGCTGAATTTAGTTGCTGTGTAATTTTAAATAACGAACTAAGGAAATGTTCAAATTGTTTTCTTTAATTCCACAGACTTATGTCCAATTAACTGTCGTTTTTCTTGTATATATTGTTCGACTGAACTACATTCTGCGTCGTCATATGTAAATAAGTTATTATCGTAGCAGAAATTATAACCATATCTCAGAGTCCACTTGCTTCACATTCTCATTAACGTAAAAAGCAGCCTTCGGCCACATGAGGAGTTGCCCCACCAAACTTTTAATAACTCTTCTCTTGGCTTCATTCTAAAGTCCGACATCTAGAGAACTACAAGTCTGATTTGGTTGAATTATGTACGTACGTAGACAGTGTTATATGTTGAGTTGACGTCATGATGACGTCATAATGGGTCATGTGATGTCATGTTGAATTTGAATACTTTAAAAGAATGTATCTATAGACACCCACAAGTCCGACTGGCTTTATGTTTGGCATAATATACAGATAAAAAGAATATATATTTTTTTCTGAAAGCAAAGTTGCATTTGGGAGACGTTATTATTGGATATGTAATTTAATTCGTAACGTTTTCCACGCAACACACACTTCTGCAATTCACTGTGTCCCGTACGAAAAAAATAATTAGGATGACCGTTTTAGTAGATTTTCTGCCGAATCTGGCACATTTCGTCACCGACACCACGAAGTAACACCCATCTACATACCAGTAAAAACTAGCAATCGGAGAAAACGGCAACTAAAGTTGAACGCCTTCTAAAACAACACTTTGCGTCAAAACGACAGAGTATTTTCAGTTGGGTTTCTCGTTGTGGACACTTGATGAATTGAATTTATTAAATCTGCTGTTTTTCACTCGTTTGTGTATTAAATTAACAAGAAATAAGAGAAAAAAGATGAGTGTTAGTTCGTGAAACCGAAAAAGCTGCGAAACTGTAAATTTTCGTTTTCACGAAGTAACACTCTTCAATGTATTTAACACGTGGAAAGTGCAACTTCAGGTCAGCGCGCGCGCGCTCATACAACTTGTTTTTGGTGTAACCGAGGCAGTTTTGTTGTTAAATCCAGCAGAGTAGGCCTATTGAAATGCATTGAGCAGAATTTTACGAATATCGTCTGGTCACCCTGATAATTATGTACACTCTCAATAATAAATGTATGTTTGTGATATGCATGTGCCGATCCATGCCCAAAACTTTTCAATCGGAAGTTATACTTGAATTCGTTAGAAAATACATCACAAGACATAAGTTATGTCTTGTGTTAAACAAAGAATCTGTCAAGCACTATGTTATATTAATTGCAGTCATTCAGTATTTATTTATATCTAGTTTCTAACATTTAAAGATTGTTTTACACACAGACAACATCCTCCACATGCCCTTGGAGTAAGTCCATCAACCCATTTCGACTTGATTAAATCACTACAGTTATCACCCTTGTTTAAGTTCTGTTATTGTCGTTTAAGTTCATTTTGTTTTAAGTTTTATTGTATAGATTCCTGAAGAAGAGCAGTTTTACTGTCTCGAAACGTCGATTAAACCCACTCCAGCCAGCAATGCATTGGTTCTGTGTCGACCTCTCTTTTTTTGTTACTGATGTTTACACCAAAACAATTCGTATTTAGAACAGCTAAAATGACCACGTTTACCAAATTGTGATATATTTATTGAAGTAAAATCGAATATGACTGATAGAAAATGTCAAAAAAAAGATAACAAAAAGTCACATTTGTTTTATCTGTGTCGTTTGAAGGAGCTTCATCATTCATGCTTTAGATTAAAAGACATTAAGGTGGATTTGGTTTATTTTTTTTTGGGGGGGGGGATTGAGGTCGTTTGCTGGGGCGGTGTTTGTCTCCTTCAATAAAACGGTCAGACAGTAGTCATAGATGCAATATCGTAGATCTCCATGTGGATCCTCAGGCCAGTGGCGTGCCTCTTCCAAATCAGGAAAGTCCTGCAAATAAATAAATCAATATTTCATGTAGCCTTGACCAAGGCTATCAGCTTGTTCTCATACGAGCTTGTTCCCGCTACCGCACACCGCGCGCGCCGCGACACAATCACTAGTTGTACATGTACTATACCGTTAGCCTCAACGACCCTTGCGTGTGCTTTGTGTGCATGTACTGTACGTACGCCCCACACACACTTCTGCAAACAGCCGTACAATAAGTCGAAGCGCAAGATAGCCTTGACGCAACCGTGGCGAATTCCTTATGTGTTTCTTTATAGTTTCGACCGAAATCGGCCGAAAATTTCTGATGCGCATATATTACACGATATCCAATCAAAGCCCGTAAACTTTGACCTGCGACATACATATTCATGACCCACAAATTACTGTATACACCACGTACATGTACATGTACATGTATGTTCACTCAAACCAAGGTATGTCCAGGTATTTCAATCCCATTTTAAACCATTTCTCCAGTTTTATTACAAACAAATGAAACATGCCGCTATATGAGTGAACAATTTGTTCAAAATGATACTATTTCCAATGTATTGCGAATTGGACAGTTCAAGACAGTCCGCCGGCGTTTTGTCTGTGCAACAGCGTACATTATCACGCCGCTACCTGCCCGTGCTATTCTGACAGCGAATGTAGGGAACAGGTCAACTCGGACCCAAGTCAAATCATACCCATTTAATCGAATGCAGGTTAACTCGTATCTATAAGCACTCGTATGAATTAACTGCAAGAAACGAGCTATTGACTTTGGGATGGAAATATACGAAACTGTCAGGTACATGGTGAAAACAAAACTCTCCCTGAATACGTACCATGTGCAAATTACATCTCATACGTACGACACATGTATTTTAACGCGTACGTATGAATCGTATATGTCGTACCTACGACATACGTACGACATGTAAGTCGTAGATGTAAATCGTACGAGATACAAGTTGTTCTCACAAGATATGTTGCATGTACCACATAATCGACAAACAAGTCAAACATACGAGTTACAATTCATATTTTGTACACACGAGATATTAAGTCGTACTTATATACGACTTTGTCGTATGCGAAAAATTATATCGTACCCTGTCGACTCGACTTATGCACGACATATATGTTGTACCGGCACCTGTCGACATTATGTCACATGTTTGATATGTCATACTCTGTCGACATACCCTGTCGATGATATTAGTCGTACCCTGTCGAAATATGTCGTACCCTGTCGATATATTAGTCGTACATACGACATATAACTTATAAGTTGTTCATACAAGTTAAAATCAGTCTTACAGAATAAGTTTGCTGAAGGAGAGATATTTTTTCCCATATCCCCTTGACAGCTTAGAAGAAATACCCCCCCCCCCCAAAAAAAAGTCAGCGGTAGATATACTCAATAGTGTGAGCACTTTTTTTGCCGCTGAACGTGAAAGCGCAGCGTGTCTTACTGCATGGCGCCAGCCGGGCCGGTGCCTACAGTGGACGGCCCCAACGTGGCCTCTGTGCATGGTGACATCGTTTTTGCCGGCGTGCGGTTTTGTACCGTTTGCCGTTTTTGGAAGGTCTAATTTTTCATCCTTTTTCATTTCATTTTCGACCCAAACTATGTGTAACTTTATAAATATTATTCTACTATTATTTAAGATTTTAAGGGGGTGTTTACAATAATTATTGTTACCACAGGCCGTCTGGTTTATAAACCTACCTTTGGTCGTATTATGTAATGCAATAAATATTCATTTTTTTGTCAGCCGTTATCCAATAAGACAAGACTATTTACCATAGCGCGTACTAATTATCATATTCGGCATACACGGTTGCGTCAAGGCTATCTTCCGCCTCGACTTACTGTACGGCTGTTTGCGGAAGTGTGTGTGGGGCGTAAGTACAACATGTACATGCACACAAAGCACACGCAAGGGTCGTTGGGGCTAACGGTACAGTACAACATTGTGTCGCTGCGCGCGCGGTGTGCGGTAGCGGGAACAAGCTCATATGGGAACAAGCTGATAGCCTTGGTCAAGGCTATATTTCATGCCGTTTAGATGATAAACGACTGATAAAAAAATGACAGGCTTTGTACATTCTTATTCTTAGATTTGAATGAGGGTCCAACTTGACCTTGTACTTTGCAGGGCCAAACCGACACTTTCTCTATGGTCTAGAGATGTGCCATTTCCTTTCCAATTTGTTTATATCAATATGAAATGTGATACCGCATGGTGTCTCATTAAGATCGTAACAGTTTCATTGAAATAAAATCGTATGTTCAGAACTCATGCCATGCTCACGCTACGACGAATTGATTCTGTTTATACCCCAGACACCGCATACCAAAACAAATGCAAATGTTACACACAGGCAGGCACCAGACTATTCCTCATTTGCATACGTGTTCAAAAATCTTTCACATGCAAATGATCCAATAACAGGGTGGGAATGCAGGTAGTGGTGGGCGCGTACTGCTCGACACCCTGGGGTCGAGGTTGACTACACTGTTAAAAATGTCAGTAAATTTACGGACTCCGTATAAAGTGAAATATCCCGTATTTGCGGCGTAATTTTACGAACTTTCCGTAAATGCAAATATTAATTATGCTAATTAGCCTGATTACAATCAACCACATCGGCCCAAACACCTACACATAATATAGTACATCTAATACATATTGTTATTTCACCCACAACCGTGTACACATGTCCAAACTCGTGTTAAGGGTCTCTTTATTTTACGGAATGAAAAAACATTTCCGGAAATTTTGCTGCCAGCAAAAAAAAATTGCGTTCCGTATTCCTGCAGCCAAATTTCCGGAAAAGTGTTTTCATTCCGTGAAATAAACAGACCCTAAGTACGAGTTTGGAAATGTGTACACGGTTGTGGGTGAAATCACAATATGTACTTAGATGTACTATATTATGTGTAGGTGTTTAGGCCGATATGATTGATTGTAATCACGCTAATTAGCATAATTAATATATTTGCATTTACGGAAAGTCCGTAAAATTACGCCGAAAATACGGAATATTTCACTTTACAGAGTCCGTAAATTACGGGCATTTTTAACAGTGTACAATGATTTTGTGAGATGTATATCTATCGATTGCCACTGAGGTAACCACAGGAGCAGAAAGATGACAGTACTGTGGAAACGGTCCACCGCAAGGCAATATTAAGTTGACTATCTGTTACTTACTCTCCCTCATGTATGAAGTTTCCTTCGTGGTTATAACCCTTGGCCAAGACGTGCTGGAAGACGAACCTAGCATCCTTACCCAGGGGCGCGACAGAGAGAGTGGTCATGTTCATGGAGCCAACTCCCTCCAGCGCAGCCAGCGTAAACTGGATAGCTGTGAAGTCAACATTAAACAGGGTAGTGTTCAAACTTGTCACATATAAAAAAAAATATCAGTCACTATTTGGGCGTTTCACAACGCAGTGCGCCCCCAAGAGCTTGCCATGGAGAGTCCATTTTTCAAAACATGGCCCATTCAATGAGGTCAGTAGACAACTCAAGTTGAGCTGATAATAGATTGGGGCATAGCGTTCTGCCGCCTTACTAAAAAACACCATATTGATAAAAAGAAAAGAAAAGGGCAAACAGATTCTCGAATCATACCCCTACGAAACTACTGACCGGAAAAACTAACAATTTTCAAAAGTCCCGCGCTGCGAAATTGTCGACAATCTCCCACAATGCACTGGGAAAAATGAACTCTCCGTGGCAAACTCTTGGTGTCACACTGCATCGTGAAACGATCGAATTCAATCAAAAACAACATCGCAGATCACGTTACAATTACAGATGAACTGATAGGAGCCGGGAACTGGAGAATCTGAATTATATTCAGGCCGAATTTAATTCGAAATTTGAAAGGGAATTAGTCGTAACCACACCTCAGACAATTTGTTTCGGACGATATGCGATTCAAAGGTGAATAACTTTCGTATACTGTTTTCATCAAGGATACATATTTGGGTATCAAAGTGGTAAACAGTGAGTTTGTTTCTGCATTCAATAGAGGACGTTGTACAATAGAGGACAATAGGGTCCCGAGAAACAAAAGAGGGCCAATAGGGGGCCCCGATCGCAGGCAAATACACACTTTGGTGCGTTTTGTAACAGCCTCGGTGCGATTCTGTTTAGCAGCATAAGAACTTGAAAGTAATGGTGTTCCAAAGACATGGATTTTGTGTTGAACATTGAAAATGAATTATACAGTTGTCTGTCTCGTAGGCATATGAATGCATATTTGTTCACGAAAAAAGGACGGACATCACATCTTTAAGTGACGAAAGCTGGCAAGAAAGCCAGGATATAAGAAAGAGATATCACCTTCTATTCCATTTACGATGGGAGCATCGTGGTCGATAAGCATGACGGCCGGATCATACAGGTTGATAATAGCACCGCAGTTGTTATCCCTGACATATTTGCTGTAAAGGTAACTCATGTATTCGACCTCTTCTCTCACCGCTAAAAACGAGGAGCAGAATGAACACACATAACTCAACTTCAGTTTTCACGGTTACAATTTGGGGATACGGGCTTCGACAGGAGAAGGGGGTTGACAGCACAAATTCGCCATTTTTTTGTCAGGCAAAATAATTGTATTTCCGGGCAAAGTCATTAGAAATATAGACAAATATATGACCTTGAAGAGTGTCACCTGTGGCCTTTAATAGTGACGTATCGAAGTTTTGGTTCGGGAGGGGGGGGGGGCTGAAAATGACACAGAAAGGGTCAATATTGACCCTGAAAGGTGTCAGGCGAAATACATGTAGAACGTGGATTCCTGCTCATATTTATCTTGACTGGGATTTTTGTTAATGAGTATAATAAACAATGGACTCACCTTCGTAGGTCATGCCATCGTCAGCAGCGGCAGCCTTAGCGTTCATCATGGCTTCCACTCGTTCCTCGGTCCATTCCTCTACGGCGATGCCCTTGTTTGCTTCAAGATAAATCATAAGACGCGATCACTCATCTCCAAGAAAAAATAAATGACGATCTGATTCATCCCACGCCCCCCCCCTTCTTGAATCATTGCTTGATTGTAACAGATGTATAGCGGTTTGTGTCAAGGCATCTTGCATCTTGGTCGATCATTATAAGGGATCGGTCAAAACCTCTTTTCTAATGTGTGTAAAAGCCTGTGAGTCTATTGCCTTTGAAACTCGTGGCTCGCCATATTGCTATATCAACATCACCCGAACTATAAAGAGGCGACTAAACAGACAAATAGGCAAGGCTGATTCTACTTAGGATGACCGTTTTAGCCGATTTTCGGCTAACTTTGACCGAATTTTTGTTAAAAACAGAGTTCGACAGAAAATTTGACAGAATGGGTTTTTAGGCAGATTTCTGGCAGAATTCTGCAGAAATGGTTAATTGACAGAAAAACAGTTAATTGGACACTAACAACAAAAAATTGTACATGTGTCTAAAAATTCTTAAATCCTTTAAAACAAAACCTTGCATAAGGGGACAGGTTGGCTGGTCTAGGTGCTGAGGCTCACTGGGAACGGGCTACGTCGTGGCTGGATCCGCGTTTTGCCCGAAATTTTTGCGATTACTTCATAACATCTGTAAGTGACTATAGATTGTTTATAATGTTATTTGACCCTTAATCAAGGCAATACTACCAATCTACATGTGATTTAAAGTGTTAACAGTGTATTTCAAATCATTCTGGGGCAGATTTTTGATATATCTGACGGATGTCTTATGTGCATTTATCAGAATTTGGCTCTGACCTTACGGGCACCCTGATTCTACTCTATCCCGAGTTTACCTACCTGATGCGAACATCAGTCCGCAGATCAGAAGAACACACAGGGAAGCGGCACGGAACATCGTGTACGAGCTCTTGGGTCTACTCTTGTCGAATGAGCAAGTTCTCGGAGTCTCGATCGATCAACGGTGGCCCAGGCAGCTAAATAGAAGATCAAGGTTTGTCTATAGCGTATATAGGTTTCGACAGGACTATTCGCTAACATAAAAACACATCCAAGTCCTTGTGTTATCGGAGGTGCATTATCGACTGCTGGAGGGCTAACGATGTCAACTTTATTTGATGCCCTTCGTGTAGTTTGAGCAATGACCAATAAGGCTGCAGCGCGCGTATAAAGTGCCATCGATGTTCAAAATATTGTGCGAAAGGCTTAATTCGTGCATAAAGTCCAAGAAAAGACAATGCCTACGCGCGCAATATCTATTGGATAATCTGACGAAGTTCGATTAAAGCTTGTTTGTTTGTTTATTTTCTTTTTTATCAAATGATCTCCAAGAAGCCTTGCATAATCCAATGGCTATGGCGTGCGCAAGTGTCAGAATTAATAAAGCAGGAATTTGTCATGCATCGTGATCTACTTACCACCTCATATTTCATTATGCCAGCGAAGAGCCATTCGGCATGCCATTTACTTTAAGGTGTTGTGGTCGAATTCATCGCCAGTCAGTCCGTAATTAAAAAACTAACAAGTCCATCTTAGTCCAAATTCAAGTTTACTACCAAAAGTGGACAAACTAATGAGGAAGGAATGCCTTCTCTGTTATTTTCAAAAGTAAAGTTTCACTTAGTCCGCTTAACAGAGAAATTCATTCCATCAAAAGTAGACTGAACAGGTATTCTTGTTCAAAATTTTTCATCTAAAATTAGGGTGATTTTTTCTCTCTAAATCGTCTGGTTCTTAGTTTCGCTCTTTGGAAGACTGAGAGGTTGACTCAGTCCGTGCGAACAGGTTTGCACTTCACTTGACACTGGATGACTTGCCATTAGTTGCTCGGAGTTGACGGCAACTCTTACAGCGTACATACAGTTTTGCGACTGTTTTGGAATAGTCCCAGTTGCAACTGTCAGTTGCTCAAGTATGAGAAAATAACGACACAATTAAGGTGTATTGGTAAAACAAATGCCTAAATTGAGTAATAACATATCTTAGTCTGACACCTGAACTTCTCGGAAAGTTGTGAGATAGAAAGATTATGTACCTTTAACAAACACGTCTCTAAAATGCGCCTCTCAAATGTTTCCCCACCCCACCTCAACCCCCCCCCCCCCACTGCCCCAGGCCCGATGTCGGGATTTGGTCACGTGTTTCATGCCCCAGGGTGGGGATTTTGGTCACTCAAATTACAGTGTTATCATTGGCTTACTACATGGAAAGGCAATCACTAGTGCGCCCCACGTATGTATGTCGGGACCTCGTTGGGGATTGTCACAAAAACAGACAATCCCCACTTCTTCGGTGAGGCAGCCCGGGGGTGAAGGGTGGGGGAAACAACTAATAGACGCATATCTGCTTAAAAACACCATCCGCTGGTAGTACTGCCTAATTCACGAAGTTTAGCATAATAAATAATGAAAGGTTTGCGGAAACACCATGTGCGAATAATTTCTCAACTAAGAGAGTGGTTCTGAAAAGAACCAGAGGTATAAACTCGACGTTCCGGTCAGTATGCTCAGACCGTTTTCAGAAGAGTCAGAGCATACTGACCGGAACGTCGAAATTATACCTCTGGTACTTTTCAGACCCATTCTCTTAGTTGAGAAATTTTTCGCACATGGTGTTTCCGCAAACCTTTCATTTTTAAGTATCTCCACCATGCAAAGCCTCTAATCTTACTGGAGTTTAGCATCTCGCTCTAGCTTGCTTAGGGACATAAGTACCGCCAATGTCCTGGTTCTTACCATATATAACTTTTGTATTAAAATTGCGAGGTCTTGATTCATTACTTTCTTTGCTTCAGGCCTTTTTATATGCATTATCTTGCTTGCTACACTTCATCCATCTATCCCCTGGAATAATCGAAATAATAACTTTAGCACTTTAGCCATCCCCTTTGCATGCAGAAATAATGCGCCACTGTACGCAAATCATTGTATTGCATGTGTGCAAAACGAGAAAAAAAAAACACAATCACCCTCACATCCCCTTCATAAAAAAATACCCCGACCATTCGATTATACCAATCTAGTTGAAATAAATGGTTACCTGATTGGAATTATTTCGACCACACGTTCGAGTCTGCTGAAAGTGTTGTTGGCAGCAAATGTTACGTTTGTTTTGAATTCAAATATATTATATAAATATTATAGTTGAAGTGAGGTTGCACATATTTTGCCACCTAAGGCTCGCCATACCAGACACAATCAACAATACCCGGACTTTAGAGGGTGTATTGAAAACAAGATATGGCAGGCACACATCTGTGACCTCTCTTGCACGTGATCGAACCGTGAAGATAGAGTTTCAACATTTAAAGGCACTTTGCTCCCGCTTGATTTTACACTGTAAAAACTGTAGTGTTAATTTAATACCAAACTGTATCTATAAAATTCAACACCAGATAGTCCTATATAGATACCAATGGTGTAAATTTAACACTCCGGTTTTTGCAGTGTAACCATATTATGACGGAGGGTATTATTGATACTGCGAAAACCAAATCACACTTTACTTTTTCGAACTTCATTTATTGAGTTTATGTTCAGTTGGGTGCTTTCTAGAAGGTTTTCAATGCAATGGCTACAAGAAGACATTTCACCTATTTTTTAGATCACTATGAACAGCAATTGTAAGTGTAAAAATAAGTCAAGAAAGTATGGTCAATTTTAAGTGCAACTTACTTGAAATAGCTAACTACAGAAAAAAACCAAAAGTTTTCCTGTATTTGGTCAAGCTGGCACAGACATAACATTATCGGTTATCTCTAATAATCCTGTTACCGCATGTTTAAATTGTCTATAATTACCTTCAGCAAGAAGTCATTGGGGTTTGTTTGTTGGTTGTTTGTTGGTTGGTTGGTTTCTCTGTGAACAAGATAACAGTGATCAATCCAAAAGTTATGGTGGTCCTTTATTCAAGTACAAATTGTTTAGATTTTGGAAGTAATAAATAATAGCCTTTACCACACCATGGTTAAATTCCAACGGTTAGCATTTTAATCCATCTTCGTCATCCAAGGGCCAATAATGCGCGCATAGACTGGGCATAGTCTTTTCTTGGACTTTATGCAAGAGATAAGCCTGTCGCTCAGTATTTGAACATCGATGACACTTCAAACGCGCGCAGCAGCCTCAATGCTAAAATTTTGCAAAGGACATCAAATAAAGGAGACAAAACGTCAGGCCTCCAGCAGTCGATAACGCATCTACCATAATCCATGGACTTTGATTTTATAATGCTTGCGAATTATCCTCTAGAAAAAGAAATAGACAAACCTCGTACAATCTTCTTTTTAGCTGCCTGGGGCACCGTTGTTGATCGATCGAAACTCCGAGAACTTGTTCATTCGACAAGAGTAGACTCCAGAGCTCGTACACGATGTTCCGCACCGCTTCCCTGTGTGCTCTCCTGATCTGCGGACTGATGTTCGCATCAGGTAGGTAAACTCAAGGGGGGGGGGGGCGAAGTAGAGGCACATTATTGTGTAGAAGCCTTCTTATCTGTTTAGACGCCTTTTCATTATGGGGTGACGGGTTGCAAAGGCAATCGGCTTAATTGGCTTTACACAATAAAAAGAGAAGTTATGACCGATCCCTTGCAATGATCGGCCAAGATGCAGATTGCTTGAAACATCTGCTACAGCCAAGACTTGCTGAAGATTTTAGGTGGCAACAATGATTCAAATTCTCCAAATCAAACCTAAATACCGTTAAAGCAAAGACTTCTTCCCAAAACGATTTTACGGGTTTTTCGAATGCACAAATGGATGTGTGTTGCTTCCCTATTATATAGAAAGGTGAAAGCAGTGACATAAGGGCAGCTGCTTGATATTGTCCCTAGGCAGGATACACCGCAACAATGGTAAAAATGAAAGCACTACCCGAGAGTATTGTTTCGTTCATCATGGCCTGACGATCCTTCAAGTTTTCCAGAAGTTGAGGTGTAGCCTAAGACTTAAATATTTTGGGGTTTTATACGGCACACTTTAAATCATTATTCTTTGCGTGAGTTATTCACGAGCAATGGTTTTATCCGAAAGACAATTGTACAGGACACAACGCTTTGGACACAATGATTGTATTGAATGTGGTTTTAGAAAGGGTTCTAGTTACAGTATTTCTGGGCCCCTAGATCCAGAAATACAATCGATTAAGTGAAAAGATGTGAATTTTACTTGGGCCACGCTCACATGGACATGCTGAATCTGGGTTAAGCATCGAATAGGCATTGGATGGGCAAAGAAGTAGGTGACATCACAGGTGAGAGTGCATGGCCCACGTAAAATATACACCCTGCCACTTAATTGATTGTATTTCTGGATCGTAGGGCCCAAATGGAATGGCGTAAACAGGAGCGGATTGAAAACAGTCAGGCTTAAATGTAATGTATAATTACATTGAAGACAAAAACATGGAACTTTTTCAACTCTCCCGCGTTAGGCAACCCATCACTTATTAGACCAATTAGCAGACACCTCGTTTGTCCCCGTTTTTGTTTGCTGGGCTAAATATCACAACGTTATCATTGCTCACATGCTTTTCCATAAGGTTGTAATAGGGTAACTGTGCTAGTAAGCAACTTGGTGAATTTGAAGCTCATCAATGCTGAGGTTTGGCAAGACTACTTGAAGATATCTGGAGACAAGGTAAATGCACGCAACTTTGGGGTATAATGCAGCCATTGTGGATCGCTACTATGTCCTCCTAATTATTCAGTCACCTATATGCTTTGGAAAGTGTTATTTGAAGTAGGATGTATATTGCATTACAAAAATAAAATTTTCAAAAAATAAACAAATTACGAATATTCCCAAATATGGGAATAAATCTATTACACGGCAGGGATTAACAATTTATGCAAATTATGCATATTAAGGGTCAACATTAACGATGTCATCCACCCACATCTTGTTTGTCATGGTTCAAAGAATTGATCTAGCATGCATGCCAGCTATTACCATAAAATGCCGTGAAATTATTTTCTAGAAATTTTTTTCCACATTTAGCTGGCCTAATTATTGGGGTCATCAGCTTTAGCTTGAAAAACAAACAACGAATCAAAACATTCAGAAGGTAATCAGCCTTAGAGGTATCGATATGAACGCACCACCGATAATGAACAGCCATTGTCTAGACAACCTCTGCATGCAAACTAAGGTCGTTCAGTCAATATTTGCATAGAGATGACACTTTGCACATCAGAGTTTCAGCTTGATAAAATATCTGAATCCTTATTGAAGGACATCAGCTAAACTCGATTAAGCACCACATCAAAATAATATGCTCCATCATCGTGCGTCTCCGATAATGCACAGACTTTGTTTGGTTTGCGGATAAGCCTGTCAATCCTCTTTGTGTGTTATAAAATCGCACAAACCTCGTACTTGGCTGCACTAGTGTTGATCGATCGGGACTCTCAAATCCATTCGACAAGAGGGGATTCCCAAGACCATACCAAGGGCGGATCGGGGGGGGGGGGGGGGGCAAAGGGCAAAGGGGGCCATGCGCCCCCTCCCTAAAAAAAACCCCGAACCCAATTTGTTTTTAAGTGACGTCGCAATAGAGACAGTCAATGAGTACACCGCCATCTTTTCTTCAAGAAACAATGATTAAAGTGGCAATAAATTGCCACAGATCGCACCACAGGGCATCCAGAATCCATTTTTTTTGGGGGGGGGGGGCCCTTAAGCCAGGCCATGAACCCAACGCCGTAAATTTTTTACCCACTTTTGGGGGAACAATTTTTTTTGCCCCCCAAATAAATTGTGTTCTGGATCCGCCCCTGGACCATACGCTATGTTTCGTACCGCTTGCCTATCTGTTGACTTGAGTTCGCGTCAGCTGAACCTGAAGACAGTGTAATGGGTAGGTTAATGCGGGGGGGGGGGGGACTAGGTTGAATCTGATCGTCACTGTTTTTCTTGGAACTGAGTGATCGCTTCTTATGATTTTATCTTACAGCTACCAAGGTCAATGACATTGCTGTAGAGGAATGGACCGAGGAACGAGTGGAAGCCATGATGAACGCTAAGGCTGCCGCTGTTGACAAAACCATGACCTACGAAGGTGAGTCCACAGTTTTGACAAACACTCTTAACAAAATTCCCTGTCAAGATATGACTAGGAATCCGAGTTCTACATGTATTTGGCCTGACGCCTTTCAAGGTCAACATTGCGATTTTCTTTGTCCCCCCCCCCCCGGAACCAAAACCTCGATTCGTCACTGACACTAGGTGACACTATTCAAGGTCACATATTTTGTCTTTTTTTAATGATGTTACCCGCAAATACGACAATTACTTTGTCAAAAAAACAACAACGGTGAGTTGGTGATGGAAACCCCCCTCTCCTGTTGAAGCCTGTGTCCCCAAAGTTTAACCGTAGAAATGCAAGTTTTTTAAAAAAAAATATTTCGTGTGATACTGTTCCTCGTTCCTACAGAGGTGAGAGAGGAGGTGGACTACATGAGCCACCTTTACAGCAAATATGTCAGGGATAACAACTGCGGTGCTATTATCAACCTGTATGATCCGGCCGTCATGCTTATCGACCACGATGCTCCCATCGTAAATGGAATAGAAGGTGATATCTCTTTCTTATATTCTGGCTTTCTTGTCGGCTTTTGTCACGTAAATATGTCATGATGTCTGTAGTATTTTAATGGACAAATAGTGCATTCGTTTTAATAGAGCTACGAGAGAGACAACGGTGTCATTCATTTCCAATATTCAACACAAAATCCATGTCTTTGGAACATCATTATGTTCAACTTCTTGTTCTGCTAAACAGAATCGCACAAAGGCTGTTAACTTGTGCTGTTACACTTGTGCCTGTGTGTATTTGCCCGCAATCGGGGACCCCATATTGTCCCTCTATTGTTCGTACTTTAACCCTAAAAGGGCCGGGGGGGGGGGGCGGCGATAGCTTTGAAATTTTTTTCGCGACCCGAGCTGTTATGACTTTTTAGCCTCAAGCCTTGCGCATCTTTTGATACCAAAAGCATAAAAATCGGACCACAGGTTGCCGCGCAGTGAACATTTTTCCGCGCTACGTGCCGTGAAAACTGAACTTTCCCATATACATTGTACACAGAGCAGAATTACCATTCGTACATATGAATAGTTAATTAGCAATAATTCCATAATTTAATAATTCCATGCCATAATTATTTCCATAACCATTTGACCAATAGTCACGAAATTTCTTGGGTATGTTTATGAGGAGTTGCTCTATGCATATACCGAGTTTAAAAAAATTTCGTCACTCGGTGGCCGAGATCTTAGGGGGGGGGGGCGGAATCCGCCCCCCGGCTGAGAGATGGTCAAAATAACCCGGCCCTTTTAGGGTTAACTTATACTAGGAAGACATCATATATGTTTTGTACACGAATCCAAATTGGGCACTTCTCGGGAACTGTGCACCCTATTGTCCTCTATAGTTCAACGTCCTCTATTGAATGCAGAAACAAACTTACTGTTTACCACTTTGATACCTAAATAATAGTAACCCGGATGAAAACTTCATCATGACAGTATACCAAAGTTATTCACCTTTGGGACATCGTCCGAAGCACATTGCCTGAGGTGTGGTTACGGAATAAATCCCTATCGAATTTCGAATTAAATGTGGCCTGACTGTAATTCAGATTTCCCGTCTCCCATCAGTTCACCGGTAATTGTAACGTGATGTGTGACGTTGTTTTTGATTGAATTCGGGCGTTTCACAATGCAGTGCGCCACCAAGAGTTTGCCACAGAGAGTTCATTGTTACCCAGTGCAGTGTGGGAGATTGTCGACAAATTGCGAGGGACAGTTGAAATTGTTAGCTTTTCCGCTCAACAGTTTCAGAAGTTTCTTAGTAATCCAGTGATGCTCTTTATTTGGCCCCAAAACAGTGATATTGTGTACGAATTCATGCAAGCTATGACCAATCATACCGAAAGCTGTCGCACCTTTGTATACGTGCAAGTTGTGGTTTAAACTCATCTTGCACGTATACAAAAGTGCAACTTTTTTTGGTACACCACTTGTCGTAAATTGCATCATTTTTGTACACATTGTCACTGTTTTGGGCCAAATAAAGAGTATAGCTGGATTGTTAAGGAATTTCTGTGCTGATCAGTCGTAATTTGAGCAAGATGTGCCCCGTATTTTTTGAGTTAGACAAAACAATTAGTAGGGAGCACTTTCTTTTTTGGTTGAGTGACTTAGCTCAAGTTGTCTACTGACACTCATTGAATGGGCCATGTTTTGTCTACCGTAAACTTGAAAAATTGACTCCCCATGGCAAACTCTTGGTGGCGCACTGCATTGTGCATCACACGTGCCCGAATTGTGACTGCTTTTTGTATAAACTATGTGACGAGCTTGAACACTAATTACCTTCTTTTAATGTTGACTTCACAGCTATCCAGTTTGTGCTGGCTGCGCTGGAGGGAGTTGGCTCCATGAACATGACCACTCTCTCTGTCGCACCCCTGGGTAAGGACGCTAGGTTCGTCTTCCAGCACGTCTTGTCCAAGGGTTTTGACCGCGAAGGAAACTTCATGCATGAGGGGCAGTAAGTAGCAGTTATCAGCCAACGCCATATTGCTTTGCTTTAGGGTTGCAGACCAGTAAAAAAAAATGCCATAGACCCCAATGATAAATGCCCCGCTTTAGAAATGCAGGAAAAACACTCACATCTCTCCAAGGTGTTCGAGACACACATCAAATTAAGGCTTATTTCATCATTTTTCATATTCTTTTCAATTTTTTTTTTTTGGGGGGGGGGGGGGGTTAACTAATGACTTTTAGGAGAAATTTTCATCCGAAGATGATCACCCCTTAATATAGTCCTGAAGCCCATCACCATTTTAAAAACGATGCCACCACTCCGTTGCAAAATAGAGCGCTTTTAGGGCTCCAATTTCATCCAAATTGCACAGAACTACAAGCTCACAGTCCTGAGCACGGTTTTCACCCGTTTTTTTTTTTTTTTTACAAAACCTCGAGTTCATGGCCCAAAATATGCTAAAATACAGAAGAATTTGAGGGCATGCAAATAGTGATTTGGCCGGCTAGGGCAATTTTAGACCTATATACTGGCCTGCAACCTTAGAGCGTTTCACGGATATCGCCATCTGTCTCCTCACGTGGGAACCTCTTGGGCAATCGAAATAAATACATGGTGCATCCCACCATATCATTGTAACCTACGCATGATGGGCCGATATTGCATAGCATTGCAATCCCCTCCCCGTTACCAAGTGACTAAGATGGCGGAGTCCGTAATACAGCCTATGGACTTCGTACAAGTGGTCTTCTCAACTGTGACAGATATGTTGACTTCAAATGCCAACAATAAGTATGCCTACTTTGTAAGTAAATTTTCTATAAACACAGCCAATTACTTACGTAGTTTCGTTTACGTTTCGACTAGTTTCACTAGTCATCCTCAGAACGAAGCACCACCAGTCGGCTGGTGGCGCTGTTTCCTGTTGCGGCCACTAGATCTGGTGGTCTGGCCGCTTGCCTACTGTTTTTTTATGCCTGTATTGTGCAAGTATACCAATCTCTGAAGTTTTTTGGAGTGCAGTGAGTCATACAGCGCCATAGTTCCATTACTGAGGTTCCTCTGATCTAACGGGTGCAAGCGAGTAAAAAGGCCAAACATCCGTCCGCCGAGCTCATGAATAAAAGTTATACTGTCAAATTCTTCTATAGGGGTCACCAAGGCCGGATCTGCAACAAATGCTCACAAACTATTCAAAGGTCCGATAGGCCATCGTTAGATCAATTTCGAGATAACAAAGTAGGGGGTGATCGGTGAATTTGGAGGAGTACGCTCGTACCCCCCGCCCTGCAAACAGGACGCTGGGATACTCTGATGAATTCACGCTCTGATTGGTTGGATTTTGCGTGACCAGTGACTTGCGCGTCATCACGGTCATGACTCTGCAAGGTTTGAAACGGCCGTTTTTTTCATTGAAAAGCGTAATAATGTAGGAAATTATGTAAAACTTATCTGTGTTGTAAATTTACAATTCCCGTCACTTTCTCAGGCTCCGTTTCGAATCACGAACGGTCGGATTGCATTATGCGACGTTCAAAATTGTGTCCACATGGTCCGCAATGCAACAGAAATCACATCCGGTATGGAACGTGTGCATTTCTGTGGAAAGTTTTCGGATAGCATTTGCGCACATAGTCTAACTGCGGTCTTGAACAGCTGCAGCCAGATGCTTTATACATAGGTCATAGGCCACTTCCTTCACAAGGTTCTGTGAAGCTCATCATCGTATCCCAGCGTCCTGTTTGCAGGGCGGGGGGTACGAGCGAATTGGAGGAGCTGGATCTCAATTAACGCCATGAGGGCGCTCTATAGTCAGGGAGTGCGCAAAAACGCTGCATGTTCTGCAGTTGTAATCTACGAATTCAGAGATACTGGTTTGGAGTGTAAACAAATCGCGTGCCCCCCCCCCAAAAAAAGAAGACACACACACACACTGTTTGGCTGACAGCTTGGACAAACGTGTTAGAAAAATGTGATGATTGAAAACAAATATAGCTGTACATTATCATGCTCAAGAACTTCATGCCAGGAGAGCCCCCAACCTCACACTCAAATATCATAACACCACAACGGAGGGAGGGGGGGGGCATTCCCACAAGTGACGTCACAAACGCAGCCTCTTCGTACAGTATTACGAGTGCGCTACCATGCACCAATGCCATGAAGAGTCCTAGTACTTGCTTTTTATATTAAATTTGGGGCAGAAAATGTTGGACACACTTTTTCGGGAAACAAAACAAAAATGTTCCCCTCCCCCTAAAAAAGAAGAAGATAAAATTTGTCCTGGACTCGGCCTTGTAACAGGAGAGCACAAAGCCAGGTATTACAAACCCCATTAGTCAGATTTGACCTGATACATTTCAGCGTCTAAATGACACCTTGCAGGGTCAAAATGCCACTCTCTTGATCATTTTCCTGGTCATTTTGACCCCAAAACCATAGCACAAGTGTCATTTTGTCCCAGATTCGGGTCAGATTGACCCTGAAGTTTATTAGGTCATAAATGACCCTGATACCAGGGCAAATCTTACCCGGACTTGCAAGAGTGTACAAAAATCTTTCCTTCATCAGTCATCAATCGTCTAAAATCGGCATGAAATATTAATTTGTTTATTTTACAGTTTTTTCATGATTTGGAAGAGGCACGCCACTGGCCTGAGGATCCACATGGAGATCTACGATATGGCAGCTATGACTCTGTCCGACAAACATTATTGAAACTGACGAACACCGCCCCGGCGAACGACATCATCATACGAAAAAACAAAATCCACGTAAAAAAATGTCTTATCATCTTCAGCATTGAAGATATAGCTCCTCCAACGACACAGATAAAAAAATGTTAATGTTTGAATTCGTGTTATTAACATTTTCTTAACAAGTTCTATTCGATTTTGCTTCGAAAAAATAGATCACAATTTGGTAAACGTAGACATTTTACCTGTTTTAAAAGCGAATTGTTTTAGTATGAACATCTGAGATTTATAATGTTGTCTGTGTGTTACAAAACAAGCCATACCAGCATCTCTAAACATTTGAAATCAGATATAAATAAATATTGAATTACTGCAATGAATCCAAAAGAGTGCTTGAAAGTTTTTATCTAGTAATTATTTGCTCATTTTCAGTTTTTTTAACGGTGTTTTCTTGGGGGGGGGGGTGGGGATTGGGGGGGGGTGGAGGTTTGTTGAGGTAGTCTGAGTATCAGCCGCTATCCACGGAGCCAAGGCTCCTGTATACCGTCTGATATGTAAAAGATTCATCTTGCGCCTCGGCCAATCGGAGTCAATTTTACTAAATCGTGAAGTCATTTCAATCCCAAATAAGGACTAAAGGTTTGATTGGCCAATTTGAATGCAGTGGTTTGTAGTGGCAACAACAGCTGGGCGGGTATCGCGTAACATAATACAGAGCGCGTGACCACAGCCTCTGTTGCTGTGTCGAGGGTAGTTTTGTGTTGCCATGTCTATGACGTGACAAAGGGAACGACCGAAGACCCGATATAGAAAGAGCCCGCTGATTGGTCAAAATCTAGAGGTCAAGATGCGGTTGTCTTGCGTAATGAATTAGCAAATATGCTCACATGTTATAGACCGTGGCTTTCGCCATGGTCTTTTACATAGACTTTGTCGAGGCGGGAGATTAGGAAACACCAATCCTGCTTTAAGGCCAATCGCTGTGAATTCACATTGCAATTTATAAAACAATGGTCGAAGAGAAATGGAAAAAAAACCCAGTAATGTTAACATTGTGCACTGCAATTATGTTATTATTGGTGAGGAATATTGCGTACATTTAGCTAAGAAGGGTAGAATAAGCCCGGTTTTTTTCTTAGCATAGAGAGGATTATGATCTTTTGATTCGTTAATTCTCAGCAATAGTCGGTCTGGATGCAAAGTTTGAAATTCCGATTTGTTCTCCCAAAATGTCGGTCCTAGGGCTTGTCTTGAATGAGGAAAAACTCTGCCCTGAAAAATAACAACACAAAGATGCTTTACTTTTAAATTGAACGTTAAATTTGTGTTTTGGTCTGATGAGGTACAACTTCAAACTGGAATGCATACATGAATAGTTATAAACATACACAATCACACTACGCGCACAGAGGTCATCCAATCAATAGCTTTCAATGGGAACTAGCTACCGGTCCCAATTAAGTTTTAAGGGGGGGGGGTCGGGAACCATTCTAGCGGATAAGCTGTAAGAGTTGGTCACACAAAAAATGTGATCAAGGTATTAAGTTAAACTATATTTACAGTGATTAATGTTTAGATTACAGTGAAGCAGCTACACTGCTTCAATTAACATGATGTTTGCTCTGCTTGTAGACAGAAACGATGTAATTAGGCCCTCACTTGTGTTAAATAACCGCCCTTTGCAGAGTTATCTAGTAGGACGATAACGTTGCGGCATTTTACAAATGAAACTGGCCGAGTTACCGCAACGGGAGTCATTCCAGTCGGCTGTGGTGTGCAGGGTTCCGCAGTCTTCGTTACCAACGTTATTGGGTTCTCCTGGCCTCCAGAGGGAAAACGGGGATGTCGATCCGTCCAGCCAGGCCCAATACCCCTCACTAGCGGCATCCGTTAGGCCGATCCAAGCGAAGCTGGCCGAACCGGACTGCTGAATCAACTCCGCGAGGAACAAGGCCTCTGCCGCGTCCAGCACCGAGGCCAGGTGGGACGGACGGCCGGGCAGGCCCCGGGCGACGCAGATTCTCTCCGCGGTGTAGAAACTCAACGGCTGCGGCACGTAGAGGTAGCAGTGCTGGCCGTGAGCAGCCCAACCATCGGGGCAGAGACACCGCGAATACACAGTGGGCTGAACGATTAGAACAGCTAGTAAGATGGTGATGTTTATCGAAGAAATGGACATTTTCAAGCCAAACAAGTGGTGCCTCACACAACTGTTTTAAATTCTGCAGCGCAAATCTTGTAAAAAGACTGTTAAAACCGGGTTGGCGGGCCTCTGTCTTTTGGTGCGTGACGCAGGTGCACAGTAATGTTCAAGTTATGCTTGGTATAAAAGACAGGCAAAAAACATCACCATTCGTTCATCTTCTAGAAGAGACGTGGATGTAGTATTATCTCTAGTTTGATGTGAGTTGAAGTCACGTTTAATACTGTACTATTTTTTTTCAAACCGGGTATATGTGCTACTATAAGCAATGCAGCTCTTACATGTCTCCGATATCAAGTAAAGTATGTGTTCCTCTCAGACGAATCGGGTTTCCCTCTTCAGCCATTTCACCTGACAATCCATGTTCCAGGAACTGTTCTCACTTTCACCATTGAAATCGCGAATGCACAGTGACAGCTCCTTTTGGTGCATCCAATATATCCCAAACGGCCTCTCCTTATGAAGAGCCTGGGAGAGTTATCATTCGATATATACTTGAGGCGCACTGAATTATTCGATGTCTAAAACCAATCATTCACCAGCCCTTTGTCTGCAGTTGTATGTGATGGGAACGGAACAGCATTGGGAAACATACTGAATACTTCATTTCATCTGTCAATTTTGGGGGAAGAACTACTAATAAATATTACAAGCAAAATCATTAGTATTGATTGCGTGAGCAACTCACGCGCTGAATTGACTGTTGTAAATTATATTGATCCTTGTTTTTAATACAATGGTTTATTTTCATGAGAAGAAAAGAGACGAGCTATCAAAGTCAAGTTCGAGCGCGAATCAGTCAGCACGAGCAATAATTGGGAGCGGTTAGGGTCGCACATGACTGATGCAGTACGCTCTGCCTCGGCTGTTCCATTGCTAGAGGGAAGAAACCATTCTTGTTATAGGTAATAAGAAGGGGAATTTGTTGTTATGTATTACAAGCTTATGTTAGTGATCACCGACTGTACTCATCGTAGTACAGTGCATTTGCAAGGCGAAATTATGACGTCACTGCAAGTGTTCGCTGGGAGCACTGATCTAAAAACTGACTTGATAGCGTACACATAGGATCGCAGAAGTCATTTGCAGCGGCGTAAATCAATCCGGGGGAGGGTATATATCCCCCATTCATTTTGAGTGAAACCATTTTTTGCACCACAGCTTAAAAAAACATAGATGTCATTTGATTGTTAGACGTCAAACTTGAAAATGATAAGTAACAGGCGAATAGGTTTTCTCTGATAAATCGGTAACGCTATTTCACACTTTGGTCATATTTTGTCCAGAGATTTTCAAACTCGTCACAACACAACATAAAAAACGGCTCTGTGTTTTGTTGTGAACAACGCTCGAGAAAACCAAAAAGTGTCCACCCTGACAAATTGTTCATATGCTTTTTATTCTCTTGTTTCTTTATTAGATTACACATTCCTACCTACAATTCATTGGTGATGAAAGTTGACAGTACAATTTAGACAAAAATAGAAATAATGGGAAAAAGGTCGGAGAAAACAATTTACAGACCATTCTAAACGATTTTGTCTAACGAAATACAACAGTCAAATAGTCCCACGAAGGTGAAACAGTTACTCCCGGAAGGTATATAGGCCTGCACTGTCGCACTAACCTTCCTGTGCCATTTTATTACACAACATGTAATTGCAATTGTTTGTATGATGCTGAATAATTCACGAATCGGTATTTTAACTGCACATGTGCACAATTCGTCTGATTAAGGTTCCGCTTGAAAAGGCTGTAGTGATGCACCAGATATGCATACAAATCGATACACCATGTATCATCTATAAAATGCAAGGGCGGATCCTGGGGGGGGGGGGGCCAAAGGGGGCCATGCCCCCCCCCCCAAAAAAAAAACGGAACCAATTTTTTTGTTATGTGACGTCGCAATAAAGGCAGGCGATGAGTACACCACCATCTTTTCCTCAAAAACATTGGCTAAAGTGGTCAGAAATTGCCTCAGATCGCACCACAGAGCATCGAGAATCCAAAAAATGTTTGGGGCCCTTAGGCGGGCCCCGAACCCCACGCCGTGGTTTTTTGACCCACTTTTTGGGAGACACAAATTTTTTTGGCCCCCCCCCCAAAAAATTGTGTTCTGGATCCGCCCTTGTTAAAATGCTGTCCGTAATGCTACTCGTTACTCTCAAATAAAGTCTGATTTAGGAAATTGTTGAAGTGGCCTCAAATATGAGTTATACACTATAAGGGTAGTTAGCAATTGCGGATAAGCTTTCGACTTGAAGAGTCCTGATTTGAGGTGGATATGTTTCTCCTCTATACTTCGCAACATGTTTACATTTGCAGTTATGACTATATTGACAGTTTAGTGACATTCATGTATGCTTTGCGCTTTTTCATTTCATAAAGTATCTTTACTAAAATTTATTTTTCTGACTACGTTTCATTTTGTTTCTTAATAGAAGTGGTGGATTTTCCACAAAGAGAAAAAACAAATCAATCTAGAAACATTGTGTTAAAGAAAGCACCAGCGTATCGTTGATTCTGCTGTAGCGCTTGATATCACAGTTTAAATTATAGAAAAATTCCTAAACTAACTTTTAAACAGGTCTAGTTGTACGCGTGCTGAATGGCTATCCTGACGAGTTGTATGGAACGCCTCCAAGGACTATTGGCCTATTCATGAAGAGCAAAAAGAAAACGTCGGAATTTCAGTCACTAAAATAACCACAAATTCGTATTTTGCTTTAAGCTTAGAAATATTATTATCCATGCATTATCGTCACTTAATACACTATTCGGGCAATTCACAATGCAGTGCGCCACCAAGCGTTTGCCACGGAGAGTTCATTTTTCCCAGTGCATTGTGGGAGATGGTCGACAACTTTGCAGGGCGGGACATTGGAAAAAATTTTTTTCCCGGTCAGTATAGTTTCGTAAGCGTATGATTCGAGTAATGCCCTTTTCTTTCATTTCTTTTGATCAATATTATGTTTATATAAGGCGGCAGAACGCTATGCCCAATTCTAAAACAAATTAACTCAAGTTGTCTAAATGACACTCGTTCAAATGGGCCATTTTTGTTGATCGTAAATTTGAAAAAAATGGACTCTTCATGACAAACTCTTGGTGGCGCACTGCATTGTGAAGCGCCCGAATTTGAACATAATAGGTGTCCTCGGCTTTCCATCTCTGTCACCTGGGTTTGAAGCCCGGCATGAACATGTGGCTTGGCTTTCAGTCTCTACCTGATGCCGTGGAATTATTCCCAGAAATATCGATATGGGGCAATTCTTCGTACATTCTTCGGGATCGCAAAGGAAATAGAGCCTCTGCAACTGCATTGTTGGCTTATCCCAGACGAAATCAACTGAGTTAATTATCTTTGTATTGCTCCCTCTAGTGCATGTTGTTGTTGGTTTCATCTGAATAAAATTGTATAAAAGTGAACATTTCTTTGTTGTTATCTCTCTTTTTTCTTTAGGCTTGTTAGCCGAGGTGCCGTATTCAACAATGTATCCCCTTACCTTTCATTGCTTCATTATCCGATCAATAACCTAGAAAGAAATTCATACAAAGGTGTTAGTTCTTTCCAAGTTAAAACGGCTTTAAAAACAACATGCCGGTACACTTTTGACACTATTTTTTTTTCAAGGATAACTTTAACAAGAAGAGCAGTAAGAAATCATTGAGTTTTGTTAAATTCAATTCGTTTATTATTCCATTTAAATGACTACAGATTAGTGACACACATTTGAAATATGACGGAACTTATGGAAATTGCCCTGGAATATTTATCATCATATTTAAATTTAACAATTTAAAACAATCGTCTCATATAATTAAACATGTCTCTTACCTATGCTATGGTAGTCCCGGACAAGGGCTCTGGGAATGGTACAAAGAAAACGAATGTTTACCGTGAAATAAATGTTTGGGTAGTTCGTAGTTTTTGTAATGGGGACCGCCCGATAGTCCGAAGGTCCGATAGTCCGAAAGTTCGATAGTCCAAATGCCCAACTTTTCCGTAAGAGGGGGTTCGTTAATCCGAATATGAAATAAGGTTCGTTAATCCGACCAATTGATGCAATAGTCCGAAGGTTCATTCATCAGAATAAGGTGAATCATTAGAATAAGTTGAATCAGTCCGAAGGTCCAATAGTCCGAAACGAAAATAAGGTCCGACAGTCCAAATCGACAATAAGGTCCGACAGTCCGAATCGACAATAAGGTCCGACAGTCCGAATCGACAATAAGGTCCGATAGTCCTAAGTGTCTGACTGACGAACTGTATTGCCCATTCGGACTATCAAACCTTATTGTCGATTCGGACTATGGAACCCTTTCGTCTATTCGGACTATCAAACCTTCGGATTAATTTATAGCCTTATTCTATTTTCGGACTAATGGGCCCTTCGGACTATCGAACCTTTGGACTATCGAACCTTCGGACTATCGAACTTTTGGACTATTGAACCTTCGGACTAAAGAACCTTCGGACTAATGAACCTTCGGACTACCGGGCTGTAACCTTGGTAATATTACAAATGTAACTGTAATGCCACATTTTATTCAGTCGAAGGTTATCCTCTTTTCGGTGCAAATACTACACTTTGAAAATGCATAGGCTGATAAAGCGTCATTTTTAACATAAGGAGAAAAAAACTAGAAATGATGTGAAGTTATGTCTTGCATGACTTTGTAGGGGTTGTATCAGAGGCATAAATAAAGGGGCAGGATGCCCCCCCCCCCGTTCGAGGCCCCACCCCCACTCAAAAGCTTGAGAAAAAATAATGGCTTTTCATTTGAAATGCTTTGATCGAGGGACCCTCTAGAAAGCGCCCACCCTGCAAACAGAATACATGTATGCCGCTGAGTGGGGTGCATACCTTTGTTCCCCAATACATAATGTTCCCCAACCCTAACCCTAACCCTAATCCTAATCCAAATCCTAAAGATTTTGGGAAATACCCATACTGGAATTTGTATCCTTGTGGAGACATTTCTTTGTTCTCGTGTAGTAAAGTTTTCGAGTTTGAAACTGTAGTTTCAAAATGCTCCTTTTTTAACCCGAATTAATTTCCTTGGCTGAAATTCGGACTTAATACCCTTTTTCTAAAACTCTTCGATTTGCGACCTATCAACATACCTTGAAAATTCCTAGTTTTGGTGTAAAGTCCATATATCTATTTCGTAATAACCTTGTGGAGACGTATTCATCTATAGAAATTGCCCTGTGGAGACGTATACGATCTTCTGTTCCCTATTGTGTGCATGTCTCCAGAGGGCACGGTGTATCAGATCAAAGGTATTGGGAAACTTAGGTATTTGGGAACATCGGGTAGACCCCGCTGAGTGATTTACATAATAAGCGTCGACATTCTTCGAACTTTTAAGCATGCAAAGGGCCCTACACTTGCATCAAATGCCAGGCTTACCGTCGCCTTCATACTCGCAATTCTTTCCGTAGTAACCCGGGGCACACAGACAGATATACTCCTCTTCTCCGGTCGGTCTGCACCACCCGCCGTTGAGGCAATTACCATAGAGGTCGCAAGAAGTTACTGAAAGTAAAATCAGACGGATAGTTAAGGAAATCTCATCAACAGCTGTGGCGATTTCTTGGCAACATTGAGGGAGGGAGGGGGGACGGGGAGGGGGAAAGAGTGGCTGGGGCTGGACGCCATTATGACCATAAAGGGCGCTGTATAAAGATGAATGTAATCACATTATAGAGCATAATTGTATAAAAGTATGTGCTTTGATCCAAAGAAACTCTTTTGTTTACCAATGGAACTAAACCCAAATTTAACATCATGTAAACAAAGCACGACAGATGTTATGGAGAGAGTTTCTTCAGTTTTGTGCAACACGGTGAGATTACGCCATACGAAAAAAATACTCACTTTTAGAATGTCGATACAGTGCTGGAGACGGTGGCGGAAGGCGTGTTCTGTGGCCAAAAGCTTCTGAAGGAATGCAGAACCACCCCTGATGTAATTGCACACCTCCTCGATCGTGTGTGGTGCCAAGCAATTGAGGAGTTGTGCAATGATATCAGGGATGATCCTGCATTCCTTCAGAAGCTTTCGGGCGCAGCACGCACCTTCCGCGTTCATTCAACTATTGTAAAATAAAGGTTTGCTTGATATGCACTTCTTAAACCATTTTTAACATTGTTCACTAGTGTCCATAATATTATGTGCAAAAGCACCCGCCATCTTGGGTCACCCATGACGCACGCGCAGTAAGCGCGACTTGTTATCAGTGAATTCGATTTCTACCTCAAGGCCGCGAAAATGAGAACTGTATTTTCCGACCGACTTTTAAGATTTAAACAATCCTATTTCCTGATTGGCAAAACGCCCGAATATTAATTGATCATTAATTAGTATAATTGTTGTTTAAAGTGAAATTAAGAAACCTCAACTGAAGAGAGATGCACAAGTACTTACGTTGGATCTTAAAGACCTTGGATCTTAAAGTAACTCATGCCTAATTTTCTTAAAGATGAACAATGCATTCTTACATGGGGGCCCACCACAAAAGAGTTCGGTCGTTGTCTCAGGTTCCGACGGCTCTATTATGTTTAATGCAAAGAAGAAAAAAGAGAACAGATAACCATAACGAAAGATCTTGTACATGCTGAGTCAAAAAGAAAGTGACCCGAAATAGACAAAAAAATAAAATTTGTTGCTCGCTCCATTTCATAAACGTTACACAAAAAACATGGTATTTACTAGTAACTGTGAACATTTCACGCAATTTGCATAATTTGTTCCCAGGTTATGTCTATTTTAATAAACAGAACACAAAATTTAGCTGTCCACCACTGATCAGTTACCGTCCTACGAACTAATGAATATCCATTAAATACAATAAAACTTAGACGTTTTTTCACTTGCACGAATGATCAAAAACTTGAAAAGGAAAACGGACAAAAATCGCTTTCAATATTTCAGAAAAAAGGGTTGACTTGTTCCACATCTTCTAAACTTGAAGGTAAACATAATGTTTAAGTCTTTACTCAACTGATTAAAGTCTCATTTGTATTTGAATGCCTTTGTGTAATCTGTAATTCTCACTCAGATCAACAGCTTCCAATGGCACTCCATGGACAGCTATAAAACGTTCTTTTAGTAAAACAAAAATGCTCTTTTTTGGAAAACAGGAATAACCTCCGATAGCATGGATCGATTTCAGTAATTATTAAGTTTTTCTTCCAGATGGAGTGGAAGAACATGCTCTTTTAAGTTAAACTTCTTTCCTGTATCAAATTCGATTGCCTTATTAGAAACAAAATCATTAATCCAGGTCGTTTTTTTTTAAACTCATTCTGTATAAGCTATGCTTAGAAAAATAATCGATCTCGAACCTTGTTTTTCACCGTTTAGAATCAATTAAATTTGACGCTTTCAAAAGAACTATTTGTTAGTTGAAAAAGTAAAGTCAAGAAATAAGATATTTTTCATTGGTAATTAGTTTTGAATTTGTAGCCTGTCATAGTGAAATAATTTCACATCAACACCTATTTTGCCTTGAGGTTCCTTGAACAAATTGAAATAATCTATATGATTTTGATCTCCTTACCTTCAGTCACACCACTATCCCACATGTCATGATACGAATGGCAAGCTAAGAATTAGGTAATAGAATAAACAAGTTTATATTACTGATATATTACAGCTCTCTCAGACTTGCAACAAAAAACCATCTGTTGCCATCAAGCGTTTGGCATTCTTTGATTGAATGCAAGGTCAAATTAGGTAATGTTTATTATGATATTCACTTTATTTTTCAAACTTAATCAAAAATGTAGTCGACGTTTAACAAGTATCGACTTTCTTTTACAATTTGGTATTTACTTTTCTTTGAAAAGGACACAAGACCAACTGGAGATAATTAAGATAGGCTTTCCATGCGCTGCCTTTAAGGTTTTGCCTTTAATGAAGCGTTCGTGAGAAAAATCCCCAGAAAAAAAAATCTTCTCTTTATCATAAACGACAGGATTGCATATGTTATTTTGAACAATGGACTTACCTATGATTGTTGTATAATCTGGTGATGTGAAACACAAAATGAATGAAATAAGTAAATACAAGTATATCACAGAAATGATAACTTTTGGTTTAGTAAAAGGTAGGCTAATGTTTAGTCCCTGTTCATGCAACACTTAATATTATGCATGAGAATATTTTTTTTACCAAAACATTATTGAGATTCGTCTCCTTAACTGGGTGAATCCAGGGCCGGATAAAGTGTTCCGTATAGGCCCTAGGCACTAGTGTTTCGTAGGCCCTATACTCCGCACTAGGCACCGACACCAGTTTCATGTTGATGCTAAGCTGTACAAAGCAAGGCCAGGCCAAACTGGTAGCTCTAATAGCCTGCTGGCACACTGTGGTATTTTCATTGGCCCTCAAATTGTTCGTAGGACCCATTTTTTTTGCGTAGGCCCGAGACACAGTGCCTACTGTACCTATATGATAATTTGGGCCTGACGTGCACTCTGGAAAACCTCTCTATTTTTTCATTAAAAGAACACAATTTTTGATACTGAGTTTTAAAACTGATAAATGGGACATTGAACTGTCCATGGGTGTAAAAAAAATGTTGAAACAATTATCAGATGCAACGGCAGCAAGCTCGAAAAGGGAAAAGTTATTGCGAAAAAAGTAGTCACGTGATCGTGCATGCAATGAACGCTGCGGAAAATTTGGTATCGCACTCACGATCCGGACATGAGGAGTGCCCGGAGCGTCAGTACGATACCATATTGTCTGCGACGTGCGTGGTCACGTGACTACTTTTTTCGCGATAAAGTTTCCCTTTTCAAACTTGCTGCCGTTGCATGTGATATTTTTTTAATATTTGTTTTTCAGCCATGGACAGCTTAATGTCCCATTTAGCAGTTTTTAAAACTCTGTATCCGAAATTGTGTTCTTTTCATGGAAAAAAGAGAGGTTTTTCAGAACAGGTCTGACTTCCCGATGCCATTTACGTTACGGATTAAGTGTGGGTCACGTGTGCCACCCCCCCCCAGCCATTGTGCAATCACGATTTCAAGCAAGATGGCGTTTTCCGTGAAACAGCTTATGCAGTCGCTCAAATCTAAAATGGGGTTGGGAGGCTGGGGGACGAGGTAGGCACAATTTCAAAGATTTAAGAAAAAAAACTCACCACAGTTATTTTCGTCAGACATATCTCCACAGTCGTTGTAGCCGTCGCATTTCCAGTAGGAGGGAATGCAGTGTCCGTTATTGCACTGAAACTCAGATTGTGTGCAGGTAGGCATATAGGGTGTAGTTGGTGCTGTTCGAGAGAAAATATAATCCAATAAATCATGTCCGTCACAGCATTTAAGCTGGCACTTTCAGGCCATTGTAACAAAAAGGAGCAACATATATACGTGTACCAGGGCCGGATTAAGTGTCTCGTAACCCTAGGCACCAGGGTTCCGTACACAAAATTTATCTGTCCACCACTGATCAGTTACTGTCCTACGAACTGATGAATATCCATTAAATACAATGAAACGTAGACGTTTTTTCACTTGCACGAATGATCAAAAACTTGAAAGGAAAACGGACAAAAATCGCTTTCAATATTTCGGAAAAAAGGGTTGACTTGTTCCACATCTTCTAAACTTGAAGTTAAACAAAATGTTTAAGTCTTGACTCAACTGATTAAAGTCTCATTTGTATTTGAATGCCTTTGTGTAATCTGTAATTCTCACTCAGCTCAACAGCTTCCAATGGCATTCCATGGACAGCTATAAAACGTTCTTTTAGTAAAACAAAAATGTTCTTTTTGGAAAACAGGAATAACCTCCGATAGCATGGATCGATTTCAGTAATTATTGGTGTTTTTTTCCAGATTGATTGGAAGAACATGCTCTTTTAAGTTAAACTTCTTTTCTGTATCAAATTCGATTGCCTTATTAGAAACAAAATCATTAATCCAGGTCACTTTTTTTTTTAAACTCATTCTGTATAAAGCTATGCTTAGAAAAATAATCGATCTCGAACCTTGTTTTTCACCGTTTAGAATCAATTACATTTAACGCTTTCAAAAGAAATATTTGTAAGTTGAAAAAGTAAAGTAAAGAAATAAGATATTTCTTATTTGGAATAAGTTTTGAATTTGTAGCCTGTCATAGTGAAATAATTTCACATCAACACCTATTTTGCCTTGAGGTTCCTTGAAAAAAATTGAAATAATCTATATGATTTTGATCTCCTTACCTTCAGTCACACCACTATCCCACGAGTCATGATACGAATGGCAAGCTTGGAATGAGGTAATAGAATAAACAAGTTTATATTACTGATATATTACAGCTCTCTCAGACTGTTAACAAAAAAAAACATCTGTTGCCATCAAGCGTTTGGCATTCTTTGATTGAATGCAAGGTCGAATTAGGTAATTTTTATTATGATATCCACTTCATTTTTCAAACTTAACCAAAAATGTAGTCGACGTTTAGCAAGTATCGACTTTCTTTTACAATTTGGTATTTACTTTTCTTTGAAAAGGACACAAGACTAACTGAACTAAGATAGGCTTTCCATGCGCTGTCTTTAAGGTTTTGCTTTTAATGAAGCGTTCGTGAGAAAAATCCCAAGAAAACAAATCTTCTTTTTATCATAAACGACAGGATTGCATATGTTATTTTGAACAATGGACTTACCTATGATTGTTGTATAATCTGGTGATGTGAAACACAAAATGAATGAAATGAGTATATACAAGTATATCACAGAAATGATAACTTTTGTTTTAGTAAACGGTAGGCTAATGTTTAGTCCCTGTTCATGCAACACTGGATGTTATGTATGAGAACATTTGTATTACCAAAACATTATTGAGATTCGTCTCCTTAACTCGGTGAATCCAGGGCCGGATAAAGTGTTCTGTATAGTCTTAGGCACAAGTGTCTTTAAACCTCAAATTGTTCGTAGGCCCCAATTTTTTTTCGTGGGCCGTAGGCACAGTGCGTACTGTGCCTATTTAATAATCCGGGCCTTACGTGTAAACAGTGTTTTAAGTCGGGCATAAGCCGTTTCGTGGATACCGCCATCTTGCTTGAAATCGTGATTGCGCAAAGGCTGGGGGGGGGGGGGCACACGTGACCCACACTGAAAATCGTAACGTAAAAGGCATGGTGAGGTCAGAGCTACTCTGGAAAACCTCCCTTTTTCATTGAAAGAACACAATTTTCGATACTGAGTTTTAAAACTGAAAAATGGGACATTAAACTGTCCATGGGTGAAAAAAAGAATATTTAAAAAATATTACATGCAACGGCAAAATGCTCGAAAAGGGGAAATTTATCGCGAAAAAAGGGATCACGTGATCGCGCATGCAATGAACGCGGCGGAAAATTTGGTATCGCACTTACGATCCGGCCATGAGGAGTGCCCGGAACGTCAGTGCGATACCAAATTGTCCGCAACGTATGTATCGAACAATTGTGAAAAGATTTTTTTCAGAATAGGTTTGACCTCCCCATGCCTTTTACGTTACGGATTAAGTGTGGGTCACGTGTGCCCCCCACGAGCCATTGCGCAATCACGATTTCAAACAAGATGGCAGTATCCGCGAAACGCTTATGCTGTCGCTCAAATCTAAAATGGGGTTGGGAGGACGGGGGACGAGGTAGGCACAATTTAAAGATTTAACAAAAACACTCACCACAGTTATTTTCGTCAGACATATCTCCACAGTCGTTGTAGCCGTCGCATTTCCAGTAGGAGGGAATGCAGTGTCCGTTATTGCACTGAAACTCAGATTGTGTGCAGGTAGGCATATAGGGTGTAGTTGGTGCTGTTCGAGAGAAAAAATAATCCAATAAACCGTGTCCGTAACAGCATTGTAGTTGGCACAAAATCACTTTCAGGCCATTTTAACAGACAAAAAGTAGCAACATATATAAACGTGTATCAGGGCCGGATTAAAGTGTTCAGTAGGTCCTAGGCACCAATCTCCGTAGTCGACGTTTAGCAAGTATCGACTTTCTTTTACAATTTGGTATTTACTTTTCTTCGAAAAGGACACAAGACCAACTGGAGATAATTAAGATAGGCTTTCCATGCGCTGCCTTTAAGGTTTTGCTTTTAATGAAGCGTTCGTGGGAAAAATCCCAAGAAAAAAAATCTTCTTTTTATCATAAACGACAGGATTGCATATGTATATATATGTATATATATATATTTTCAACAATGGACTTACCTATGACTGTTGTATAATCTGGTGATGTGAAACACAAAATGAATGAAATAAGTAAATACGAATTGGTACGGAATAAGTATATCACAGAAATGATAACTTTTGTTTTAGTAAAAGGTAGGCTAATGTTTAGTCCCTGTTCATGCAACACTGAATGTTATGCATGAGAACATTTGTATTACCAAAACATTATTGAGATTCGTCTCCTTAACTCGGTGAATCCAGGGCCGGATAAAGTGTTCCGTATAGGCCCTAGGCACCAGTGTTCCGTAGGCCCTTTACTCCGCACTAGGCACCAACACCAGCTTCATGTTGATGCTAAGCTGTACAAAGCAGGCCAGGCCAAACTGGTAGTTCTAAAAGCCTGTTGGCACACTGTGGTATTTTCGTTGGCCCTCAAATTGTTCGTAGGCTCCTTTTTATTGCGTAGGCCCCAGGCAAAGTGCCTACTACACCTATATGAAAATCCAGGCCTGACGTGCACTCTGGAAAACTCTCTTTTTTTTTCATTGAAAGAACACAAGTTTGGATACTGAGTTTTAAAACCGATAAATGGGACATTGAACTGTCCATGGGTGTAAAAAATGTGGCAACAATTATCACATGCAACGGCAGCAAGCTCGAAAAGGGAAAAGTTATTGCGAAAAAAGTAGTCACGTGATCGCGCATGCAATGAACGCTGCGGAAAGTTTGGTATCGCACTCACGATCCGGACATGAGGAGTGCCCGGACCGTCAGTACGATACCATATTGTCCGCGACGTGCGTGGTCACGTGACTACTTTTTCGCGATAAAGTTTCCCTTTTCAAACTTGCTGCCGTTGCATGTGATTTTTTTTTAATATTTGTTTTTCAACCATGGACAGCTTAATGTCCCATTTAGCAGTTTTTAAAACTCCGTATCCGAAATTGTGTTATTTTTATGGAAAAAAGAGAAATTTTTCAGAACAGGTCTGACCTTCCCATGCCTTTTACGTTACGGATTAATTATGGGTCACGTGTGCCCCCCCCCCTCCGCCATTGCGCATTCACGATTTTAAGCAAGATGGCAGTATCCGCAAAACGGCTCATCATGCAGTTGCTCAAATCTTAAATGGGGCGGGGAGGCCGGGGGACGAGGTAGGCACAATTTCAAAGATTTAAGAAAAAAACTCACCACAGTTATTTTCGTCAGACATGTCTCCACAATCGTTGTCGCCGTCGCATTTCCAGTCGGAGGGAATGCAGTGTCCGTTATTGCACTGAAACTCAGTTTGTGTGCAGTAAGGCATATCGGGTGTAGTTGGTGCTGTTCAAGAGAACAAACAATCCAATAAATCATGTCCGTCACAGCATTTTAGTTGGCACAAAATCACTTTCAGGCCATTTTAACAGACAAAAAGGAGCAACATATATATGTGTATCAGGGCCGGATTAAAGTGTTCCGTAGGTCCTAGACTCCAGTGTTCCGTAGGCCCTATACTCTGCACTTGGCACCAACACCAGTTTCATGTTGATGCTAAGCTGTACAAAGCAGGCCAGGGCAAACTGGTAGCTCTAAAAGCCTGTTGGCCCACTGTGGTATTTTCGTAGGCCCTCAATTTTCTCGAAGGCCCTAAGCACAGTGCCTAACTGTGCCTATTGGATAATCCAGGCCTGGGTGAATCCTTCGGTTACCATATCAACTGTTATTAGACAATAATCCGACCAATTCGCTCTTTGCACGCTTCACCATAGGCATGCAGAGCCTCAATCTGGCAATTTTACACAATAAATATAGCCGGTTCAGTGATTCCCGGGTACACGCGGGAATCACTGAACCCCGACATGGGAATCACTGAACCGGCTATATCTATTGTGTAAGGTTGCCCGATCGAGGCTCTGCATGCTCATGACGAAAGCGTGAAAAGAGTTGATGCCGTAAAGAAGATGGAAGGATGCAAGAGATTAACCAAATGGTATGTCTATGACTTTTGAATAATTATTCCAACAAAGAAGTCTGATGTTCTGTAGATGCATAAGGGGATTACTTCTTTCGATAAAATCTTTACAGCTCGATCGTTTTTCTTGTAGTCGATAGTTTTTCTCCTTTTGTCCTGACTCAAGATCCGAATACCCTGCTAAGGAAAATACAACGTCTATTGTCGACATCCTTACCGCATCATCCTCCCAAACTGTTTACTTACATTCGGAAGACTTGGCGGTGGTAGTCTCACAATGTTACCACCCCTCTGAATATGAATTTGTCTCCTTACCTATACTGGAATCTTCAGTCCCAATACTATCTGTCAGGTCATAATCCGACGTGCAAACTAAGGAGGAGATAAGAACATACATGGTTTCAACTACTGAGTCTGATATACACGGTAATTTTGTTAAATTTTGCAAATGATTTTTCAAATCATGGATGTAGGGGACATGTCTCACAAGCATCGTTTTTCCTTTGTACCGTGAGCTTTCCTTTTAACTTTAACACCAAAAACCCCTCAAAAAAACCAAGTCAGATTAGAGATAAATTAGAAGGTTTCCAAGCGCTGGCATTAATGACCTGCCTTTAATTAAGCATTGCTGGGAAACCCGACTCCCCCCCAAACAAAAAAATATAAATAAATATATAAATAAAAAGAAAACGAGAAACAAATGAGTGTCTTCTTTTAATCAAAAACGACATTTAAATCAATAGGCTTACCTATGGTTGTTGTATCTGGCGACGACTCTATGAGTAATCAAACAAAAATGAATACATGAGTACATATCGTAATACTTATACACGAGGACATTTGTCTTTGAAATTGTTAACGTAATATTAAATAATAGGTCGTCACCTCACCTTCAGGGAATCCTTCAGTTGGCATATCATCCGTCAGACCATAATCCGACCAATACCCTGCAGAGGGCAAAAATAATAAACAAGATTCACCAAGTGGTATGTCTGTGACTTTTGAGTACTAACTTTCCAACAAAGAAGTCTGCTGCCATCAATCGTCTGATGTTCTGCAGCTGCATTTAGGGAATGGTTTTTTTCGATTGGATCTTTACATCTCTATCGTTTTTCGTGCACTCGATTATTTTCAACTTTTGATCTGACTCATGATCCGACTACCCTTCTAAGGTAAATGAAACGTCTACTGTCGGCATTATTACTTCCCCATCCTCCAAAGCTGTTTACTTACATTCGGTAGTTCCATAGTCTGATGGCTCTTGTAGGTGAAATGAAAAGAACAAAGAGGACAAAAACACGATTATTTTTACTGCAGGGATGATGCTTAGCTAATCAGGTATAAGTTTTCAAAGTTAAAATCGTGATATCAGACTGAAATTATGTTTCATAAAAGAAAAACAAGAGCCCTATTTTGTTAGAAAAAAAAACAATTATTTTTACTGCAAGGATGATGCTTAGCTAATAAATCAGGTATATGTTTTCGGAGTCAAATCAAGCTATCAAACTGCAACAAGGTTTAAAACAACAAAACAGAGCCCCGTTTTATTGGAAATTGTCGCATATTCTGCTGACCTACCTATAGGAAAGGTCGCTTTAAACAAAATAGAGCTTACATTCGAAGGGAATTTGAAATAGAAAGTTTAGTTCCGTAGAAGTTGACAGCTGGAGTTGAAACAATTTCACACCAGCACCGTTTTTCATTAGGTTCCGTAGATAAAGTTAAAATAATTTACATGAAATCCGTCTGCTTACCTTCAGTCACCGAATTATCATAGTCCGACGTGCAAACTAAGAAGGTAAAAGAATAATAAGATTTCCAACAACCGATATACTTTAGTAATTTTGTTAATTATGTACTCGATTTTTCAAGCGTAATCATCATGGTTGTAGTGGACATTTCTCGCAAGCATTGTTTTTCCTTCGTACTGTGTACTTTCCTTTTAACTTTTACAACAAAATATCAAGTCAGATTAAGGAAGTGTAGCAGCTCCGTCACCACGCGTTAGTTTTAATGCTCTGCTTTTGATCAAGCATTGCTGGGTAATTCTCTTCACAAAAAGTACAACAATACATTTAAAAAGAAAAAGAAAACCAGAAAAATGCGTTCTTTTCATCACGAACGACTTAGTCTTCAAATGTTCAATGAATAGGCTTACCTATGGTTGTTGTATCTGGCGACGACTCTGGGAATGATGAAACACAAATGAATACATGAGCACATTTCTTGTTCAAAGATGTTTACAACTTTAGTTATAGGTAATGTGTAGTCTCTGTTCGTGCAACACTGACATTAATAAAATTAAGAGGAAATTTGTATTTGAAATTGTTACTGAAATATTGAACAGTTGGTCGTCAACTTACCTTCAGTTGTAAAATCATTCGACTGACTATAATCGATCCAATACCCTAAAGAAGGTAAAAATGATAAACAACAATCACCAAGTGCTATGTTTGTGACTTTTGAATACTTTATATTCTAATAAAGAAGTCTGCTGCCACCAATCGTCTGATGTTCTGCAGTTGCATCAAGGGAATTGTTTCTTTCGCTTGGATCTTTACATCTCTATCGTTTTTCGTGCACTCGATTATTTTCACCGTTTGATCTGACTCATGATCCGACTACCCTGTTAAGGTAAATACAACGTCTTTTGTCGGCATCCTTACTTGCCTATCCTCCCAAGCTGTTTACTTACATTCGGTAGTTCCATAGTCTGATGGCCCTTCTAGGTCAAATCAAAGAAAAGAAGAAAACACAAAAGACGAGGTTTTAACTGCAAGGATGATGCTTAGCTAATCAGGTACAGGTTCTTGATGTCAAATCTATGTTAACAAACAGCAACAATGTTTAATAAAGGAAAAAGAAAGAGCTCTATTTTGTTAAAATGAGCCTTAATTTATATTCATATTATATATCTTTTGCCTAATCCTTCTGTTATCTTATTGGAAATTGTCGAATATATCTATAGGAAAGGTAACGTAAGACAAAATAAAGCTAGAGCTGACATTCGAAGGTAACTTAAATAGAAAATTTTTCTACATTGGAGTTAACAGCTAAGGTGAATACAATGTCTATTGTCGGCATCCTTACTTCCCCATCCTCCCAAGCTGTTTACTTACATTCGGTAGGTCCATAGTCCGATGGCCCTTGTCGGTCAAATCAAAGAAAAGAAAAGGACAAAAACACGATTATTATTACTGTAAGGATGATGCTTAGCTAATCAGGTACAGGTTTTCAAAGTCAAATCATGCTATCAGACAATTTATGTTTAATTAAAGAAAAACAAGTGCCCCACTTTGTTAAAAAGAATAATTATTTTTACTGCAAGGATGATGCTTAGCTAATCAGGTGTAGGTTTTTGATGTCAAATCAAGATATTAAACTGCAACAAGGTTAAATACAACAAAACAGAGCCCCGTTTTGTTGGAAAGACCAAGATTTTACCTTTGTAGTTGTATCTCTAATGCTAATCCTTATTTATTTTATTGAAAATTATCGCATATTCTGCTGACAGACCTATAGGAAAGGTTGCTTTAAACAAAATAGAGCTTACATTCGAAGCGAATTTGAAATATAAAGTTTAGCTCCGTAGAAGTTGACAGCTGGAGTTGAAACAATTTCACATCAGCACCGTTTTTCATTAGGTTCCGTAAAAAAAGTTTGAATAATTTACATTAAATCCGTCTGCTTACCTTCAGTCACCGAATTGTCATAATCCGACGTGCAAACTAATAAGAAGGTAAAAAAGAGTAAATAAGGTTTGCAACTTATTTCGTTAAACTATCTACATGATTTTTCAAACTTAATCGTCAAGGTTGTAGTGAACGTTTCTTGCAAGCATTCGTTTGCTTTTGTACTGTGTGCTTTCCTTTTAATTTCAACAACAAAATATCAAGTCAGATTAAGGAAGTGTAGAAGCTTGCCACACGTTGGCTTTAGTGCTTTGCTTTTGATTAAGCATTTCTGGGAAACCCCACCCCTCTACAATATATATTAATAAACATATAAATATAACGAAAAGGAGAAAACAAAAGAGTGTCTTCTTTCAATCATTAAGGACACTCTTACATCTTTAAAATTCATAGGCTTACCTATGGTTGTTGTATCTGGCGACGACTCTAGGAGTGATCAAACACAAATGAAAACAAGAGTTCACATCTGATTAAAGGATGTTTACAGTTTAAGTATAAACGGTAATGTGTAGTTTCTGTTGGTGCAACACTGACTTTCATAACGAGAACATTTATATTAGAAATTGTTACCGAAATAATAAACACTTTGTCACCTTACTTTCAGAGAATCCTTCAGTTGGCATACCATCCGTCAGACCATAATCCGACCAATACCCTAAAGAAGGTGAAAATGATAAACAAGAATCACCAAGTGGTATGTTTGTGACTTGAATAATTATTCCAACAAAGAACTCTGCTGCCACCAATCGTTTGATGTTCTGCAGTTGCATTAAGGGAATTGTTTCTTTCGACTGGATCTTGACAGCTCGATTGTTTTTCATGTCTTGATTATTTTCAACTTTTGCTCTGACACATGATCCGACTACCCTGCTAACTTGGTAAGTACAACGTCTACTGTCGCCATCCTTACTTCCCCATCCTCCCAAGCTGTTTACTTACATTCTGTAGTTCCATAGTCCGATGGCCCTTGTCGGTCAAATCAAAGAAAAGAAAAGCACAAAAACACGATTATTTTTACTGCAAGGATGATGCTTAGCTAATCAGGTATAGATTTTCGAAGTCACATCAAGATAACAAACTGCAACCAGGTTTAATACACAAAAACAGAGCCCCGTTTTGTTGAAAAGACCAACATTTTATCTTTTTAGTTGTATATCTAATGCTAATTCTTCTGTTATTTTCTTAAAACTTGTTGTATATCCTGCTGACCTACCTATAATCGATCCAATACCCTGAAGAGGGTAAAAATGATAAACAAGAATCACCAAGTGGTATGTTTTTGACTTTTGAATAATTATTCCAACAAAGAAGTCTGCCGCCACCAATCGTCTGATGTTCTGCAGTTGCATTCAGGGAATTGTTTCTTTCGACTGGATCTTTACAGCTCGATCGTTGTTCGTGCACTCGATTATTTTCAACTTTTGCTCTGACTCATAATCCGACAACCCTGCTGAGGTAAATACAATGTCTATTGTCGGCATCCATAGTTCCCCATCCTCCCAAATTGTTTACTTACATTCGGTAGTTCCATAGTCCGATGACCCTTGTAGGTAAAATCAAAGAAAAGAAGGGAAAAACACGATTTCTTTGAGTGCAAGAATAATGCTTAGCTAACCAGGTGTTCGTTCTCAATGTCAATTCATGATATGAGACTGCGACAAGGTATAATTAAAAATAAAACAGAGCACTGATTTGTTAAAATAGACCAATATTTGATCTTTGTAGTTGTATCTCTAGCCTCATCCTTCTGTTATTGTCTTGGAAATTGTCGCAAATTCTGAGGACTTATCTCTAGGAAAAGTCACTTGAACTAAAATAGAGCTGACATTCGAAGGTAACTTGAAATAGAAAATTTAGCTCCGTTGAAAGTGACAGTTGGAGCTGAATCAACACCTGTTTTTTCACATAAGTCCTTGAAAAAAAGTTGAAATAATTAATATAAAATTCGACTCCTTACATTTGTAGTCTTCAGTCATCACACTATCGTAATCCGACGTGCAGACTAAGAAGGTAAAAGAGAGTAAATGATAATTATGTACATGATTTTGCAAACTTAATCGTCGTGGTTGTAGTGGACATTTCTTTCAAGCGTCGGCTTGCTTTTGTATTGTGTGCTTTTCGTTTAATTTTAACAACAAAATAACAAGTCAGGTTAGAGAAATGTACAAGCTTGCCATACGCTGGCTTTAATGCTCTGCGTTTAATTAAGCATTGATTGGAAATCTATCACGACTGTCTTACACTTGTTCAATGAATGGGCTTACCTATGGTTGTTGTATCTGGCGACGGCTCTAGAGTGACCAAACACAAATTAATACATGAGTTAATATCTTATTAAAGGTCGTCTACAATTGAGGTATTAGGTAATGTTCGTGCAACACTGACGTTCATACACGAGAGCATTTGTGTTTGAAATTGTTTCCAAAATATCAAACACTCGCCATCTTACCTTCAGTGAATCCTTCAGTCACCATACTCTCCGTCTGACTACTATCCGACCAGCCCCCTAAAAAGGGTGCAGTGATACATAAGATTCATCAAGTGGTATGTTTATGACTTTTATTTTGAACAAATATTCCAACAAAGAAGTCTGCTGCCACCAATCGTCTGATATTCTGTAGTGGCAATAAGGGTGTTGGTTCTTTCGATTGGATCTTTACAGCTAGATCGTTTGATTTTTCTTGTAGCCGATTACTTTCTCCTTTGCCCTGACTCATGAGCACACTACCCTAAGCCAAATACAACGTCTATTGTAAGCCAAATACAACGTCTATTGTCGGCATCCGTAGTTTCCCATCCTACCTATGTGTTTACTTACAAAAATAATCTGAGAAACACCACTGCGAATAGGAGGGTCCGAAAGGTGATCCTTGTAATAAAATGAAAGAAAAGGATAGTGAGAAAAGAAAAGAATCTCAAATCCGGGAATGAGGCTTATCTAATCGGGTAGGTTCTTGATGGAAAATCATGATATAATATCAAGCTACAGAAATAGTACAAGAAAATAGCGGCATCGTTTTATTGCAAAGACCAACACTAAATCTTGTCAGTTCTCTCTATCCTAATCCTTCTGTTATTTTCTTAGCATTTGTGGCATAGTCTCATGACGTACTTTTATGAAAGGTAAAACAAATAGAGTTTACATACGAATGTACTTGCCAACTTAAAATACAAGGTTTTGCTCCGTTAGTGTTGACAAATTGCATTATTATGAGCCATTACAAAGCTAGTTAACCTCTACGACAGAGTTGTACCCTCTGATGCACAGAACTCCTGAATTGTTCGTCTATATTATTTTGTTGGGTAAAATCTATAGGCTCTATTATGCCAAAACAAAAAATAGTCGGTCTCTGGTCAGACCGAAGTTCCGGAATTGATGCAGCGACGCGGTTTTTTTTTTTTGGCTTTTTTTTCAAGCTTGTATTGTACAGACAAGGTGGGTACTTATTTGCTTTTTTGTGTCCTCATTATACATTGGTGTCCTCCATAATTTGCCTTGGTGCCCTTTATCATTTGCCTTGGTGCAATTTCCCCATTCTTTGGTGCTCCTTGGTACAAAAATTTGAGGAGGCGCGGCAATAGAGGGCGCTGTTGTAGCTTCCGTGTTAATTTGAAGAAAAAAAAGGTTGACGCGCATGACTAAAATCGACGCGCACGCTGACCAGGGACCGAGAATTTTTTTTTTGGCCTTATCCGTTGCCACTAGTGTTAGTGTTGTTCGTAGTTAAAATAAATTATGTTTTACAACATTATTGACTTTTGGAAAATTCTGATATTGCGTGTAGAGTGTTTTATACAGTGCATGCCTTGCATGGGAGTTTTAATCATATTTGCTTTTGAATATCCAAATCTAGTTCTCATTGTGAACATCCTGCCTTGCCCACAAAATATTACTTCACATAAATTTAGGAGTGAGTATACTTACTCTTTGGGGGAGCTGCGTTTGCCGTGCTCACTAAAATCAACATAAACCCAAGAAAAAATAACACAGTTATTCCCAAATGCATCTTTAGCTATTGTTTATTCTATTGTAAGTCAGGGACGCGAAGAAGTTGAATAAAACTTTAATAGACTCTCAAAAATTTAATCACACAAACCTCAAAAATTTAAACCCTGCTGGCTGACCAGCACCTCCCTCTTTGCTTTTTTTCCCCTCTAAAATCCCGAGTGGAGTTAAGGATAAGGCGCTGTACGAAAGTACATGGTAGCAGTTGAGTATGGACTTCTAAAATGTATGCAAATTGAAACTTATTCAAATTAGGTTTTGCCCTTCACCGACGTTTTTTAAACACTGTATACTCAGTGTGTTACCTCCCGAGTGAGAGTTGGAAAATTCCATCTTATAATAGTTTGTGCGGTACCCGCTGCTATGTACATCAGATTCGAACCGACCAACCGGTGGTCGAGTGGTAAGACATCTGCACTAGAAAGCAGGAGGTCGTGGGTTCGTGTCCCACCCGAGTGAGTTTTTCCAACTTTCACTCGGGAGGTAACACACTGAGTATACAGTGTTTAAAAAAAGTCGGTGAAGGGCAAAACCTAATTTGAACAATATCCCCCCGGCGCAAAAACAATTCCATCTTACAAATTGAAACTTGGTATCTACAGTACCACCGCGGACGCTAAACCCATTTTGGCACTGCGTTGCTTGAAATATCGTGATGAGCTATGTGTTCTTTCTATCACGTGATGTGTCTCACACATGCATATACGGAAATTAACTTTGAAAAGGTCTACGGCCGGAATCGTCCACCACAATGGCCTTGATAATTTTCTTATCAGAGGAGGCAGAACAAAAAGCCTGGTAACGAAGTTGAGCGACGACACAAAATATTAGGCTATACTCACCCATGCAGGCGATCCCAAGGAGAAGAGCAAAGCGGACTGGCTCCATGATGAACGACTGCTGTGTTATCGATGGCTCTCAAACAAATGATGGGAAGATGCCTCAAAGCCCGCTTTTTATAGAAATTTCCCACCTCGGTTGCCAACTGTAGGCGCAATAAAACACTAACCAAATATATTTACAAAGCGTGGGGTTGAGTATGTTAAACGGCAGATACAGAGTTTTGTGTTTGTTCCACGCTTCCGGTTGGTTTACAAAACGAACCGAAACCATTTGCGTCCAGAGAAAATCGATTCTTTTGTAACTTTTTTTCCCTGACGCGTGTTAATGGAAAAAATAAATGACAAACTTGTAGACAGTTTCTTTTTCATTGCTTTGGTTTGTGTTATGATAAAGTTCATTGTGTACTATTCTTCCAAAGAAATATGCACAAAAGGTTTAGCGTTTTAGTTTCTTTTTTTTTTGCCGTTTTGTTATGAGTTTGGGTAACATTAACAGTGCTCAATTCTTCCAAAGAAAGTACAGAAATTGTTTATTTGCTCAAGTTTCTGTTCACTGTTTTGATATGAGTTTTGATAAAGGTGACTACATACAGTTCTTACGGCAGATGTTCAAGTTATAATCATTGTTGTTACATAATTTAAAAAAAATCAGAAAAACTTCTTGAGGCAATTTGTAAATCTGTGTCTGTACAACCGTCTTGTGAACGCTAGATACGACCTAAAACTGAAAACGAGACCGAACATGATATTGCATGATTGCGCTAAGCGTTCACGTCTTTTACACCCATGTTTTCTAACCTTTATGGTTGAACGGTATCATACTAACATCATTTTAGTCATGTTTACTGTATCCAAAAACATACTGAATGATACTTTTTTTGTGCAAAAGGGAACCTTTCCCCCGCAGTCTATATTGTGCAATTGAAAGTATAACATTGACGTCAGCTCTCTTTTATTTTTACTTTCACTTTTTGTGTCTAATGACGAGGCTTTTCTGGTAACGCTACAATCTGGTAATGCAATTGGCGATGTATGAGTTTTTCTTGATACTTTTTCTTGATATGTTATAGTATCATAATAAATAGTTTTCTTAAAACTGACTTCCGATATGTCACATTTTAAAACTTAGCGAGCTTTTCCCCAACTTTCTTTGAATTCAGTTTAAATATTAATACACATCACATTCGTTATAAGTTTATTGTTCACGCGGAAATCACAATCCATGCTGAAGGAAGCTTATTTTGGTATCTTTGCAATCAGGGGGTCGATACCAAACATATGCTATTACATCGATTGTGTTTGGCTGTATTCGTTCACCAGATGCTCTACGTTTGAACAGTGTTTTATAAAAATCCATAGTGGTGACAAAATACAAAAAGTAAACATCAATGGAAATCGACTACATAAACGAGTAAATATATTAACATTTGTAAATTTGTCGACTTTGAATTGACATTCTTTGCGAACCCACCTATCACGTATGGGCGCGTATTATTACGAGTATCTTAATTTACACGAGTGCGTCACAGCCATTACGTGATACTCGTGGCTTCATTTGACGCATTGGTGGAATTTTTTTGGGAAGGGGGCGCGGGCCATGCTCCACCCCCCCCCCCAAAAAACATAAAGAAGTATATAGTAGAAAAAGAAGAGGACACTAAAGAGAACATTGCGTATCGCTGCGTTGACTTATTGGTAACATTTCGAGATGTATTACTTCCCTTCGTCAGACCTGAGAGTAACAAAACAACCGAAAAGACAACATAAGAAAACCGTAAAGGGCAAAAGGTATTCAGGTTAAAAAACACAAAACATCACATCAACTGAGAACGGCAAAATCAAGTCAGATAATTAGTAAAAGCAGGGAATCGTACCAGGTAAGAGAAGCGTGTTGGCGTGTGTTCGGACACCGCTCTGGTGAAAAGCTATGATGCAAGTATATATATTTATAAATAAAAAAACTAAAGAACCATTGTGGACCACTGTTTTATTTCAACTGTACTGTAGTCTAATCATCCGCTCTCCATCCACAGATTCGTGCAGTATTTCGGGGGTGGTGAAGGAATGCAAGTGAGGGATCCTTTTTGCTGTCTGGTTCGTAAGTGTTACGTCATATCAACTTAAACCACGACCGCTGCGCACAGAGTAGCATTGGAACCATTGAAACTGGAAGTAGAACAAGGGGCGGGGCGTGTTTAGCCAGTCGGTCGGCCATAGCTAGAAAGCAAATGTGCGCTGCGTGTATGAAGCAGTCACTTACTGCATTGGTTATCAGCGCGCCTACAAACCATGCCTACAATAAGGAATAAGTGAACACTTGGTGGCGCTGTTTGTTTGAACATCCTAATAGTTAATGTATGTGCGGTCATGCATACGTTTGTTGTACATACTCTTTGTAGTTTTGATTACTCTTTTTTGGGATGCAGAGAGGGTGACGCAAACTTTAAAGTTTTCAAAAAGTGGCGGAGGAACATTGCCCCCTTCCCTGTCGTTTAGCACCTGTGCTTTGTGAGGGTCACAAATCTAAATTTTCTTTTGATAATGTCTGCAATCATATGAAACAGCAAGTTTTTATACGTATCATGTTGATTGTTTTAATCAATGCATTCATTGCAATCCAGTCAACACCGTCCATTATTCCATTAGTTCCCAACCAACAATTCTCTCAGATTTGCTGCCTTGCCAGAATCTTTGGGGCGGGTGATTGGGTGGGCATAGTCTTTGTTCAAGACTGAATTTTGGATTTTATTTCCCTTTATTCAGCCGGTCCGTTTAAGCAGGTTTGCTATCAACAAGATGAATCAAGTCCAGTCTTTGCAATATTGGCAGCGCTACCCAGGAAATTCCGAGCATACCTCGAGCACGCTGTATATACTCAAGCTAATGCATGCGCGTGAGCTATGCTCGGAATGTCCTGGGTAACGCTGCCAATATTGCCAAGGCTTGATTTGTTTCATCTTGTTGACAGATACCTTCACAGCCTATGTAGCTTAACCGCCTTTGCCACGGGACTGGCTGCAAAATAGGGGAATACGAATCCACTCTTTGAGCCATACGATGGAGAGGAAAGTTGCATTTGCCCCAGGTCGTAATCTTAAAACAAAAGGGGAAAGGAAAGCAGAAGAGGATTTTACAGATCCCGCGGCGGTCATTAATTTGCACATCGCAGGTACAATTAAAAAAAACCTTCTTCTGGTTTTATAAGCGACGACGAGTACTTCAAATTACAGTGTAATTGCAATTTTTACTTGTACATTTTTTTGAAAAGACAAGGAGAAGAACTGAATTGACTGTTTCCAAAATGAATTTTGCTTTTCATAAAAATTATTATGGGCCTACTTATTTCTTGCATAAAATG